TTACATATTAATTGTTTGGTATCCCTCGGATCTGTGCTCAGACTTGATCACCCGTGGCTTTAGAATCGAGGGGTATCACATAAACACACTAAAGACTCTCGCCGGACTAAGGCAAACTCAACCGGATAGTGAGTATCTCATGCAAAGCGTACACAAAGGTGGCCACGAGTCCTCCTTCTACTAGGGCACTCACATCTCTAAATCCAGCTACTTATCCCAATTGGCAATATGCGCCCCCATCTTAACCACTGATTAGAAGACTTCAAGCTTGTATCATGGTACATATAATATCATTATAGATAAAGCTAACCATATCCTAACAATGGTACACCAACAACAACCATACCCATATCCTAACATTGGGTAGGAAACAAATAAATAAAATAGACATATCCTAACAATGGCATGTCATCTACATCTTGACAATGGCATGACATAGAACCCATATCCTAACAATGGTTCCTAAACAATCCACATATATGTAGATCATGTATAAGATCATATAAAATAGATATGCACCTGATTATAATCACATCATCGCAATAATAATAAATAACGTATAATTTAATGCTATTTAAACTCGCGAATAACTTCGAATTATTTAAAGCTACCTACATCAATTATCTTAACATAATTTGAACCCTACGTATGTTGGTAATTTATATCTATAACAATCAAAGAGTTTCACAACCATATCTCATTTTAAAACATTTAATCTCCCATGAGTTCTAAGATTAAATATACCAATTCATAATTGAATTAATTTCATTACATGCTTTGATATTATTCAAGCCTATTAATTCACATACCACTGTTCTTAAGTCCATATACACTGTTCGGGACTTTAAATAATCAATTCGGGGCCAAACAAATGACTTTTGCCCAAAAATATAGAGTAGTGCTCGAGCCATGTCCTTATAGGGCTCGAGCACTAAACAACACTCAAGCATTACCCCAATAACGCTCGAGCACTATTTCCCCAGAATGCAGCGCTCAAGCGCTGTTACGATAAACAGCTCGAAAACCGTTTTTCCAGCCATGTTCTTCCTTGTTACGGGTCCTAAGGCATGTTACTAAGTCCCATAAAATTCACGAACCAATCTACATCAATCTAACATGTAAAAATCAGTTTAAAGTAGATATAAGACATCAATTTACCAAATCATTCAACAAAGACAAATATGAACTTAAACCCATAAAACCTATCTTCTAAATCAATTTTAAACATGAACATAAATTTTATTAATCCTTTAACAACTCCTAAAGTTATACAAAAGGCATACAGAACACAGATCTAAGGAGAAGTGTAGAACAGAGGACTTATCTTAAGCTTTCGGATCGAAAGTTAACCTTCCTCTTCCTTGTTCTTCTTCTCTAATGCCTACAGCCTTCGGGTTACCGTCATTCACTCCGTAGATCCGATTTACCCACGAGCACCCTTCTTCTTCTTCTTCTTCCTCTTTCTTTCTCTCTCTTTCTCGCCCCTCTTTCTTTTCCATTTTCTTTCTCTTTTCTAGATCTAGAATATATATATATATATATATATATATATATATATATATATGTATATATAGTATAGTATATATAGATATACACTACCTATGACCTAGTCCTAACTCACGTCTGACAACTAATGAATATAATAAATCTTTATTTTAATTCAATATAATATATATATATATATATATATATATATATATATATATATATATATATGTAGTAATCCCTATGTGCCATTATCCAGCCCATTTAGGATCCCTTCCAAATAGTCCACTATTAAAATAAAAATAAAACTAAAACAATATACATATAACATTTAATCCTACACAATTAAACATTTACAATCAATTTAAATAAATAACACACCACACAAAGCCACATAATTAAATGTATGAACATATATAATTTGCCAAATAAATTAATGTTGGTCCTGAGGTTCCCTAAGATATGTTTGCCTGTTTAATGTAAAAAAGCTTTGTATCAATAGCTTCGAGGGGTTATTCAACCTGCATTGTGGCTTAGAATGATCTACAGGGGTAATAGTATTATCATTTACTCTTCAGTGACACATTCTACATAATGGCCTAAGATAGTACATTACAGTTTATATGCCTGCACAAGTTGAATTTGTTGTGTTAATTGGTTCAGCACATGAAAATTAGCTACAGGTGTTCATAGGGGTAATATTGTCTTTTCCTAGCTATATTTTATGTGTACACGTATGCTCAGATAGCTACATTGCATTGAGAAGCCTTGGTTGAACATGCATTGTGATATATACAGCTTTAGTGCCTGTATTGTGCTGAGAAGAAGTAAACAGTTGTTACAAGGGTATTTTTGGCCTTTCCATGTTGAGCTCATGTGTGTGACACGAGGTTGTAGTCCATGGTTATATATTCCTCCACTGATATTGTATAGCTTAGAGGTTAAGCTAAGAGATATAACAGATGTAGCCTCACTTGCATAAGCTGTATTTTACTGGTGCACAAGGTGTCAATATGAGCTGAGATTTCAAGGGTACAAGTGTCCTTTTGCTAAGAGAATGTCATAATTGTCCTTGTACAATGATTGGATAAATGGTGACACCAAATTAGTCAGTGAAATGCAGCTAAGTATTTGCATTATACTATATATATGTTGTGATAGAATGTATTAGGGTTTAAGCCATATAACAATTCTAAAAAATGAGCTGCAGCTGAATACTCTCGAGACCTTCATATAACAAAGTTTTACTATGTTATTTGATGTTGATTTAAGCAAGTAAAACCCACTGATTCAAGCCTTGTATGTGTAATAACTGTGAAGATGGTGTTGTCAATTTTACCAGTGCAAGGGCTGGATTGAGTAGTGAATCTGATTTCCAAGCTGCTGTGGTTACATCTAAGGGATGTCACAGGTATATTTGAGATTTTTACATTTGCTAAGCACTGAGTTTTACACTGAATCATGCTGAAAGTGATTTTGATCTCTAAGACTTATGTTTAAGCTTAATTTCTGGTGTAAATATGTGATTCAAGTACAATATGGTTTAGCCTAGCTATTTTATGAATTATCTAAGTGCTAGTAAGTATATTTTGGTGAATCAAAGCTGTTGAAATTGGCTGTGGGACACAAAAGTGGCCTACAGTAGTTTTGAATGTTCAAAACCCTTGGTTTGAACTGTGTTTTGCTGTGATGTGTGATGAGAACGAACTTTGTGATACACTTATGTTGCTTTTCATTATTTAAAGTTATGAACATGAGAAATACAGTGATACAATACTGTGGAAGGTGTTGATATAATATTCTCGAAGGGAAATTTAATTTTTACCCCTTAAACCTTAGCTTCAGCAGAACAGGTTTTGAAGGTTGTAACTTGGAGTTTTGAGCTGTCTAACCTATTTTAATTGTAGGAAGGACTTGTTTACTATGTTTTACATCTACTATGGTGTATGTTGTGAGTTGTGGGAGCTTATTTGGTCCAAGCAAAGGTTACTTAGGACATGGGGAGTGCTTGTGTGCACTAAACTGAGCTAGTGTGTGAGTAGAGTATGTGATACATAATGTCTTCACTTGTACAAGGGTGTGTGCAGAGAGTGAGACAGCTGAATGTGTAACAACTTACTTATAACTAGTGGATGATTGAATTGACAGTGGCCAAGAACCAATGTTTTCCTTAGTTGAGAGAGTTTCCTTATACATCTTGTTTAAGTGCTTCTAGTATACTTGTTTTAATTGTTCACAAGATTATAATTTCAAAGGATTTGACCAATTCACCCCCCTCTTGGTCCAACAATTAATTTAAATTAAACCAAACAAAAACAATTAAATAAAACAAATAATCAAGTAAACACCCAATTAAATATAAAAGTAAATAATCAAATAGCCACATAATTAAATAAAAATGCAATCAAAATACTTAAATAAAAATTTAGAAATTATAGGTATTACATTAAAGTAATTTCAAAAACTATAGGGGAGGTCCGTGTAATTATGGCAAACTTCAAGGGAGGTCCGTGTCATTTACCATTTTTTTAATTGGCCAATTTTAGCCACCTTGTTATTGTACTGCCCAATTCTTGATTTCTAATTTAATTTTTGGTTTTTGTTTGCTCTAGTAATGATTAAAGTTCCACTTTAGGAGGTTATGGAAAATTCATTTCAGTGTGGTGGACTCGAAAATGCGGCGGAGGTCAATGAGGTGAAGGAGGGTATACTTTTGAGGATGTTGTTGCCTATGTTAGCGAGAATGGAATTAAGTTTTAGGCAAAAAACACCATTGTGTTCTTCCAAGGCGAATGAGAGAAGGAATACGAGAAGGATGATTGTGGGAGGAGGTATGGTAGCAGTCTCGAATTCAGTCCCGATGAGCAAAGGGCTGATGGGTAAAATTTGAGATGAAGAATAGAATTCTCAGGCTGAAGGTTCTGAATGCGGAGGGTAAGGAGGAAAATAATACGAATATATATATATAGCTTGTATATACTTATATGTACATATATAGTTAGTGAGAGAAGGAGAGAGAAGGGATCAACTTTATGGCATTTCGATCACTTAAAATGGGTTATATTAGGTGATTTTATATATTAAAGAGCCTTTTGTAAGTAAATATAAAGTTATAAGTAAATATAAAGTTATAAAAGAGTAGTAATATTATTTTACGTGTCAAAAGTGATATACCATTGAAAACTAGGGTAAAAGAAAAACAGACCAAATTTAAAAAAAAGTATCTCTTCCCCATTTCCTTGTGACATTTGGCTAAATATCACGGGAGTGTCACTGTTTTATTTTAGATAGAAATTGTAAATTTTCGTTAGCCGTACCACTAATGTTCTCTCCCAACCCACCCCAAATAAGATGGGCCTGTATTTGGAGTCCGTTTAAAATAAAGATCGGGTCATGGGTGATCCACATTATAATTTGGACTTAAATTACTAGTTCTCCGAGCGCACCTCTGCGCACTTTAGAACTCATCGACCCCGCATTTTTGTCGACCTTATAAAAACCGTAAATAAAGCGACAAAGAAGAGAAGTCTCTCTTTCCACGTTTCGGTTCCAAAATCTCTCTCTGTTGGTGTTTCCTCCAACTTCACATCCGATTTCCCCAGCAATTTGCACTGTTTTCCGCAACGATCATCGCCGACACTTTTCACCGGAAAAAATGGAGTCCCCGCCGTCGACGACGGCGGCGAACTCTCTCCATCTCGAAGATTTCGGTCAGAAGGTCGATCTCACTCGGAGGATCCGAGAGGTTCTACTGAATTATCCAGAGGGCACTACCGTGTTGAAGGAGTTGATACAGAACGCCGACGACGCTGGTGCCACCAAGGTTTGCCTTTGCTTGGACCGCCGGGTTCACGGCACCGAGTCGTTGTTGTCGGAGAAGTTGGCGCAGTGGCAGGGACCGGCGTTGTTGGCATATAACAATGCCGAGTTTACTGAGGATGATTTTGTTAGTATATCGAGGATCGGAGGCAGTAGCAAGCACTCTCAGGCTTGGAAAACTGGTCGGTTCGGGTAATTCAACAACTCATTTATACATAATACATATTGTATGTAACCATATATATGTATATCTTCACTATGCAATTGCTATTAGTTGGAGAATTATAGTCTATCATCTGTTTTGGGCGATTAGAGAAGGCAGGAAAAAGAAACAAAAAATTTTGAGTATAGGTTTTTTGCTTTATTGGTTTCCTTACAAACGAAAATGAAAAAAAAAGTAAACTGAAATAAGTTAAAGAAATTTAATTTCAATTAAACTATTGATTGCAGCATTTAGCTTTTATTAGAACAAAGTATGGCGAGGACTAGAGAAGAAATAAAATATTCAATAAAACAACATTTACTTATGTTTAGTAAGTTTAGTATTCTATTATTGTATTGAATTTGTAACTTATGAATCATAAATTAATAACAATCAATGATACACATTGGTGTGAGATTATTTATGCTCAATTCTTTCATATGACCTTGTTTTATATTTTTTGCCATCATATTATTAGGGTTTGAAGATTGCATGCTTTTATCTATAAGAACCATTTTTAGAATGCATAAAACTGTTTTTGAATGCTTCAATTTTAGAAGTCTTAAAGGAACAAGGATAGGAAAAATTATTAAAGTCTAGTATGTCTGGATCAAAAAGTTCGATCGACCGAGACCATATTAAAATGCTTTGATTGAAGACTTAATCGGTTGAAACTTTTCTAGTATGGTTCAATCATAACTTGATCGGTTGAACTGTAAGCAAATTGTTTTAGAATCTCTCTGAAACCAGAGTTCTAGAAGGCTGAGGCCCTGCATGGATCAGTTTCCAGTTTTCAAGAATAGTTTGTAGAGAATCAGAACATAAAACATTTTTTAGTTTTTTGAATCTAAAAATTTGCTTAGTTAGAAAAAACTACAAAATAGTTTTAAGAGAACAAAAGCTCAGAAATCCGTTTGGTTGTATCCATATAAAATAGTTTTTTTGAACTAAGAAAATAAAGAAAATTGTTTGACATAAACTAAAAAAATAATGAATTTTTTTTGGCATGATTATTTTTAGATTTAGTTTTACTCCTTTTTTGCACCTGGTCTTTTCCTTTGCTATTACTGCTATATTTATATAATTTTTTTTGAATGTCTTCTCCAGATCTTTGTCATGGGAAATTTTGCTGCCCCAATTTATTTCTTAGAATTTTTAGTTGCTATTTTATTTTATCTAATTGACATTTATAAATTGTTTGTCAGCTATGCTTTGGCACTTAACTTTGTATTGATGCTGTTTTTTATAGGGTTGGCTTCAATTCAGTGTACCATCTAACTGATTTGCCCTCTTTTGTAAGTGGCAAATATGTGGTATTATTTGATCCTCAGGGCGTTTACCTTCCAAATGTCTCCACAGCAAATCCTGGAAAGCGAATCGAGTATGTTAGTTCTTCAGCCATCTCCCTGTATAAAGACCAGTTTTTTCCTTATTGTGCTTTTGGTTGTGATATGAAAAATCCTTTCCCTGGAACATTATTCCGTTTTCCTTTGAGGAATGCAGATCAGGCAGCTAATAGTAAGCTCTCAAAACATGTATACTTGGAAGATGACATATCTTCCATGTTTGCTCAGCTTTATGAAGAAGGAGTTTTCACACTTCTTTTTCTTAAAAGTGTACTTTCTATTGACATGTATTTATGGGACGCTGGAATGTCCCAGCCAAGGAAGATTCTTTCGTGCTCCATCAACTCGGTCGGTGATGATACCATTTGGCATCGCCAGATGCTTTTGAGGCTATCAAAGTTAACAAATTATTCTGATTGTGTGACAGATGCCTATTCATTGGACTTTTTGAGCGAGAGAGTTATTGAGAACCACTCTCAGAAGAGAATAGATACTTTCTATATAGCACAAACAATGGCACCGGCATCCAGTAGGATTGGTTCTTTTGCTACAAGTGCATCTAAAGATTATGATATTCACTTGTTGCCTTGGGCGTCAGTTGCTGCATGCGTATCAGATCACTCATCCGATGTAATTTACAATATTTCATTGTGCCTTTCATACTATTATCTCTCTCTCCTCCTGTGTGTGTGTTGTAAATATAGAGGTTTGTTACATGATTGGTATGCAGTTAAGGCTGTTAGTAGTTTTAAACCTTGTCAAACCTTTCAGTCATATATTTTTAGAAGTTCTGCTGCATATATGAACTATGTGATTGATATTATTGTGCAGTGAGTGATTATATTTCTCAATGAAATTTCTAGTGAGTATTTTTATTTATACTTGTTTCTTTTTCTTTATCATTTTGTTTGTAAGGGGATGAGGGAAACCATTTTGGCTTTTGTATGACCATGAAAGTGCATGTTGGTGAACTAAATGTCGTAATCTAAATGGTATCTTCAGTCATTCTTTGGTTACAAGTTGTCATTCTTTATAGGACTCATATCCTCTATAATTGTTGTGGCCAACAATTGCTACATGTTTGTACTTTATGAACGAACTTATCCTCTGTTTAAAAGAAATGGCCTATCCGTCTTCGTATACAATGCATAAGAAGCAACAAATTTGCGGTAATTTAGGTTCTCCTGTTGGAGTGAATGGACCAATTATTACCCGGACAAGGGTCTAGAGTAGCGTATGTTGATTTCTTTCTTTTATTTTCCTTTTTTCTTTTACACTCCCTTTCATTTAGGGACAAATGTGTACTGTATAAGAGATCATTGACATTGGTGTCAGTGTTCAACATGCGTTGCATTTAAAAAAGAACTGTAATATGACAACATGCGTGCAGATTTATGGCAGGTTTGATTAAATTCCAATCTGGATGTTATGATCTGAAAGTACGTGCCCACAGAAATATCCCATGAGTATAGAATCCTTATGGCATCCATGTAGGATCGCAAGAGTGGTGGGATCCCAATTTGACTCCTGAATTTACCATAGAAGCTATTTAATGTTACACTTTCGTTCCTTTTTGATGAGTTAGGACCTGAGATCCAAATAGTATTATGAAACGACGGTCAAGAAAAACTTAATTGTCCTAAGTATGATAAGCATTTCAATTTTTGTTCTTGTTTTGATTGTACAATGATTCTTTTAAGTTTGGATTTAAACTATAAAACGATACTTCAACCCTTTGAGTTCAGTCTCCATTTCTGTCTCTACAACTCTAGAAGGGTGCTTGAAACAAATCATTAATGTACACAAATCTTTAGTCCTTTTGTTCCTCAAATTATTATTATTATTATTATTTTGTCTATGTTATAAGCATTCTCACTGTATCCTTGATTGAGTAGCTCGAGTAATTTAAATAGGATTATTTTCACGTGTAAGTTAAAAGATTTTCATTTTATGCATGATCACAAAATGACGATTCATGTGTAGTTTATATATTAAATCTAATATCGGGATGTGTTATCATAGTTAGTCTATATAAATTAATTATTTTGATACTAATAATTTGTTTATTTGACTGAGTGATAATGTGCTTCAAAAGTTTTAGGGAGATGTTTTGAAGGTTTATATGTTACAAATACTTGTGTTAATTCTTCTATATATGTGTGTGTGTGTGTGTGTGTGTGTATATATATAATCAGTTTTAGGATCTTCTTGTATAATTTTTAAGAATTATTTATTGCACAAATTCTTTTAAGTATTATTTTTCTTCTTTTGTATAATCTTAGGATTCTTGACCAGACCTACGATCCAATTCTGAATCCCCAAATCAGTCAAAAATAGGGTCACAATTCTAATAACCTTGAGTTATGGATATTGTTGGGTCAGACAGATATAGGGGCATCTGACACGAAAAACAGTGAGTATGCTTGTTATATAGGCGACAATTACTTGTGGTTCTGGTGATCTGTAGACCAATTCTAGGAGCCCAATTCAGTTGTTGGTTTTCACAAAGAAGCGTTTTATATACCTTTAAGTTAGACATGATAGTTGTGATTTGTTTTCACTGAGAAAGGATATCGATTTCCATTCTATAAAATGGCCTCATGATTTTAAAAGAATTCTAGAAGAACAAGGCTCCTTCCGTCTTTTATTATTATTTTTTTCGCATTTGATACTCACACACCCATATATGCCTCCACTGATCCTTGAACCCCTGACCTTCCTTTGGAAAGTAGGGGCTTGATACCTCTGAGCCGCTGGCCCGTTGGTGCTCCTTCTGTCTTTTACAAGGCTTAAGTACAATCTATTCTTGGAGGAAGAGCTTGTTTCAGTTTATTTTTTTCTTTTTCTTTTTTTTTTTTTTCTTTTTCTTTTGTGTGTGTGATCGCGCGTGATAGTTATTAAGAAAAGTAAGTTGGCTAAGGTGATTGCTTGGAATCCTGACGCATCAGGTGCTATTTCTTCTTGTGCTTACCTGATGCTCGTGGTGTGCACATTGTGTGCATTTGTTGTATTAACTTTCAACTCAAATGGGTTGGCGATACCCTGACATAACAATATACATACATATATATATATATAATATTTCGTAGGAAACAATTCATTAAAGGAAAAAAGGTTTTCAAGGATGAGCAATGTTTTTGTGGCATTGCAGTTTCCAATGCCAATTGGTGATTGCAGTGTCCTTTACTTTGTGCTTTAAGGGGTAAGTGGCTGATCATTGGGTTGAGGTTTGAGATGGTTTGATTAATGGGGGTACGTTAGAAAGCAATCTCTTCGTTAATTTGGATCAGGGAAACTGGTTCGGTGACTGGTAGATATGTTACATAAGCCTTAAGCCTTTCTTGTCTTCGGCCGTTGTGTATTTGTGAATTTTTGAACGCAATACATATTTACTTATCAAAAAAAAGAAAAAGAAAAAGAAAAGTGTTACGTAAGCCTTATCCTTTCTTGCTTTGTATACTTTGTTTGCTGACTCATCAGAGAAAACTAATCTGAAAATTGAAATTTATACCTAAAAAAATTGAAAGAGCACTAGTAAGTTGGAAAGGTATTTAAGTTTAATAGTATTGTTGTTATTTTTGGCTGGCAAAGCTTAAGCATGCTGCATGGGAACATAATTGAAAATTTCCTTGATTGGTGGCAAAAATCTTCTTATCATCTACCTCCACTGTTTGTTCTGTTATCTATTTAAAAGTTAAAAACTTCTTTTGGACGTTCTACTCCGATTGTTACATAGGAAGTGTTTCCTTGAACCTGATGAGATTATTTTGTTCCAGGTGCATGCTTCATTAGATAACAATGTTAGTTTCTTTTGCCAATATAATTTTTTTATTTATGTATTTTAACTTCTGTTTCCATTGTTTGTAACTGGCTGTTACAATATCCTTTTTTTTTTTTTTTTTCCTTTCAAATTTGTAAGAGGGACTATCTTTTGGATAAATGAACCATAACCTGTAGCATGTTTCATAGTGTGCTTTCCAAAAAAGAATTTACTGGGACTTAGAATATTCAGGAAGCTATTTTCTTTTATTTTTGAATTCTTTATCTTCTTAAGGGATTTACTCATTAAGAATTTCGTTACATATTTAGTGTTTTATCCTTGTCTTCTGTTTATCTGTTTCTGTGTCTAGCCCAAGATAAAAGAAAATATGGTACTTTATTTGAATGCTTTTACACATTACCGTTCTAGGATAATTTTTCTTTCATCTTTTTATTTATCATATTTTAATGTGTTTTTGTTTCAACTTGATACCTAACAGGATGATGTTCTTAAGCTTGGCCGGGCATTCTGTTTCCTTCCTTTGCCAGTGAAAACTGGAATGGCTGTGCAGGTTAATGGATACTTTGAGGTTTCTTCAAACCGTCGTGGCATTTGGTATGGTGCCGATATGGACAGAAGTGGAAAAATTCGTTCTCTTTGGAACAGACTTCTTTTAGAAGACGTGGTTGCACCTACTTTTGCGCAGTTGTTGCTTGGTGTGCGAGGATTGCTAGGTCCGACAAAATTGTATTATACACTATGGCCCACTGGTTCCTTTGAAGAGCCATGGAACATTTTAGTTGAACATATTTACAGGAACATTGGTAATGCTGCTGTCTTGTATTCGGGCATTGAAGGAGGAAAATGGGTTTCACCAGTGGAAGCTTTTCTTCATGATGAGGAGTTCTCAAAAAGCATGGAACTTGGGGAGGCGCTTGTACAGCTAGGAATGCCTATTGTTCATTTGCCCAATGTTTTGCTTAATATGCTCTTGAAATGTGCTTCCAGTTTTCGGCAGAAACTGGTTACTCCTGATTCTGTGAGGAATTATCTTAGGGAAAGCAAAAGTGTAATTACATTAAGTAGATTTTACAAGCTTACATTGTTGGAGTATTGTCTTGAAGACCTTATTGACGGTGATGCTGGTGCTCATGCTTATGACCTGCCATTGCTTCCTTTAGCAAATGGGGACTTCGGATTTTTGTCTGAATCCTCAAAAGGGATTTCTTATTTTATCTGTAATGAGTCAGAATACATGCTTCTTCAACCAATCTCAGATAGAATAATTGATCATAATATTCCTCTCAACATATTGAGCAGTATATCAGCTATTGCGAAGGCATCAAAGACAAATCTGACTCTGTTTAATATCAATTATTTACTTCAGTTATTCCCTAAATTTGTCCCTGCTGATTGGAAACACAAAACCAAAGTTCTTTGGGATCCAAAGTCTGATTCTAGTCATCCATCTTCATCATGGTTTGTGCTTTTTTGGCAGTATCTTAGAGATCATTGTGAAAATTTGTCCCTGTTTGGTGATTGGCCTATCTTGCCATCTCTCTCTGGGCATCTCTTTAGACCTTCAAGACAATCAAAACTGTTGAATGTTGAGCATCTGTCTGACAAGATGCAAGACCTCCTTGTTAAGATAGGATGTAAGATTCTGAACAGCAGTTATGGTGTTGAACACTCCGACTTATCACATTATGTATATGGTGCTGATTGCGCTGGTGTTCTGGGGTCAATTTTCGACGTTGCCTCTTCAAATGATAGCATCATGCAAACATTTCATTATTTGGGAGTGGAAGAGAGGGATGAGCTTCGTCAATTTCTTCTGGATCAAAAATGGTATATTGGAAAAGGTATGGCTGATGCTGACATATGGAATTGCAAGAGGCTGCCTATTTATAGGGTCTATTGTGGAGAATCTGCTCAAAATTCCCAGTATTCAGATTTAGAAAACCCTCAAAAATACTTACCGCCATTGGATGTTTCTGAGTGCTTCCTTTGTGGCGAGTTTATTAGCAGTTCTTCATATGATGAAGAAGAGGTTTTAAAAAGATATTATGGAATTGATCGAATGGGGAAGACATGCTTTTATAAGCAACATGTATTGAACAGACTTGAGGAGTTGCAACCTGAGGTTCGTGACAGAATCATGCTTTCAGTTCTGCAAGAGCTACCACAATTATGTGTTGAGGATGCATCTTTCAGGGAAGATCTGAGAAAATTGGAATTTGTTCCAACCTCTGGTGGTTCGGTGAAGTGTCCTGCAGTGCTATATGATCCTCGTAATGAAGAATTATATGCGTTATTAGAAGATTCTGATAGTTTCCCTTGTGGTGTATTCCAAGAATCAGGCATTTTGGACATGCTACAAGGTTTGGGCCTCAAGACGGCTGTTTCTCCTGAAACAGTCATACAAAGTGCTAGACAGGTAGAACGGTTAATTCACGAAGATCAACAAAGGGCATATTCAAGAGGCAAAGTGATTCTTTCTTACCTGGAAGTGAATGCATTGAAGTGGGTACCTAATCCAGCAAATGCTGATCAAGGAACAATGAATAGAATGTTGTCACGAGCTGCAACTGCATTCAAACCACGTAATTTGAAATCTGACCTGGAGAAATTCTGGAATGATCTCCAGATGATTTGCTGGTGCCCAGTTCTTGTTTCTTCTCCTTATCATACTTTACCATGGCCTGTTGTGTCATCTATGGTTGCTCCTCCAAAGCTTGTAAAATTATACAGAGACTTGTGGCTTGTATCAGGAAGCATGCGGATACTGGATGGAGAATGCTCATCCACAGCCTTAGCACATCACCTTGGGTGGTCTTCTCCACCCGCAGGAAGTGTAATTGCTGCCCAACTACTTGAGCTTGGGAAAAATAATGAGATTGTGACGGATCAGGTGCTTCGGCGGGAATTGGTCTTAGTGATGCCAAGGATATACTCCATACTAATGGGCATGATTGGTTCGGATGAGATGGACATTGTGAAAGCCGTTTTAGAAGGGTGCCGATGGATTTGGGTGGGAGATGGATTTGCAACCTTGGATGAGGTTGTCCTTAATGGTCCTCTTCATTTGGCTCCCTATATACGAGTTATACCTGTTGACTTGGCAGTTTTCAGGAATTTATTTTTGGAACTCGGTGTTCGTGAATTCTTGAAGCCCAGTGACTATGCTAATATTTTATGCAAAATGGCTATGAAGAAAGGTTCCAGTCCTCTGGATGAACAGGAAATCAGGGCTGCTATACTGATTGCGCAGCATCTGGCTGGAGTTCAGTTTTATGAACAGGAAATTAAGATCTATCTACCAGACATATCAGGCAGACTAATTAATGCTACTGATCTAGTTTATAATGATGCTCCCTGGTTGCTTGGCTCAGAAGATGTTAATAGCTCATTGGATAATGCCTCTACCGTGGCCTTAAATGCAAAGAGAACTGTTCAAAAATATGTGCATGGAAACATTTCTAATGATGTTGCAGAGAAGCTTGGTGTCCGTTCACTTCGGAGAATGCTGCTTGCCGAGAGTGCTGATTCAGTGAATTTGAGTTTGTCTGGCGCTGCTGAAGCATTCGGACAGCATGAAGCTTTGACGACCAGACTTAAACATATACTTGAAATGTATGCAGATGGACCTGGGATTCTGTTTGAGCTAGTGCAAAATGCAGAGGATGCAAGAGCTTCCGAGGTAGTCTTTCTCTTGGACAAAACTCAGTATGGGACTTCATCCATTCTCTCTCCTGAAATGGCAGATTGGCAAGGCCCTGCTCTGTACTGTTTCAATGACTCTGTTTTCAGTCAGCAAGATTTATACGCTATATCACGTATTGGTCAAGAAAGCAAGCTAGAGAATCCTTTTGCAATTGGAAGATTTGGGCTGGGATTTAATTGTGTTTATCACTTTACAGACATCCCCTCATTTGTTTCGGGGGAAAACGTTGTCATGTTTGATCCTCATGCCTGTAATTTGCCCGGAATCTCTCCATCTCACCCTGGCTTGCGAATTAAGTTTGTGGGCAGAAGGATTTTGGAACAATTTCCAGATCAATTTTCTCCTTTCCTACACTTTGGTTGTGATTTGCAGCATTCATTTCCTGGCACACTCTTCCGTTTTCCCCTCAGGAGTGCAAATGTTGCTTCTCGAAGCCACATAAAGAAAGAAGGATATGCTTCTGAAGATGTAATATCACTCTTCTCTTCTTTTTCTGAGGTGGTTTCTGAAACTTTACTGTTTCTCCGCAATGTAAAAACCATCTCCATTTTTGTCAAAGAAGGATCTAGTAATGGGATGCAACTACTACATCGTGTTCACAAATCCTGTGTCAGTGAGCCTGAAGCTGAACCCAGTGCATTTCATCATATGTTAAGTATTATGCATGGAAATCAGCAAGATGCATTGGAAAAGGATCAGTTCCTTAACAAACTGAGCAAATCCATAAACAAAGATTTGCCATGGAAATCTCAGAAGATTGTGGTGACAGAGCAAAGCACTTCTGGTGATAAAGCACACTTGTGGTTAACTAGTGAATGCTTAGGTGGTGGCCTTGTTAAGAACAATTCTGCATCTTTTGATACCAAATCTCGAAAATATATTCCTTGGGCTTGTGTTGCTTCATATTTACATTCGGTAGAGGTTAATAGGGAATTGAGTGATACCCAAAATACTGAGGAATCTTGCATTATTAATTCTGATATACTTCAAGTTCCTATCACTACTCTCCAGGAAATAAAGAATTTTGAGGGTCGTGCCTTTTGCTTTTTACCACTGCCAATCTTTACTGGTCTTCGAGTGCATGTTAATGCATATTTTGAATTGTCGTCAAACCGAAGGGATATATGGTTTGGTAATGACATGGCAGGGGGTGGGAAAAAACGCTCAGACTGGAATATGTACCTCCTTGAAGATGTGCTTGCCCCAGCTTATGGACACTTGCTTGAGAAAGTTGCACTGGAAATTGGCCCATGCGATTTATTCTTTTCATTTTGGCCAACAACAATAGGGTTAGAACCCTGGGCATCAATTGTGCGGAAACTCTACCATTTTATTGCCGAGTTTGGTCTCCGTGTACTGTATACAAAAGCCAGAGGGGGCCAGTGGATCTCAACCAAACAGGCTATTTTTCCTGATTTTTCTTTTAAGAAGGCACATGAGCTTGTAGAAGCATTATCAGATGCTGGTTTGCCAGTTGTAACTGTTTCAAAGCCACTTGTGGAGAAATTTATGGAGATCTGTCCATCATTGCATTTCCTTACGCCTCAGTTACTGCGGTCGCTGTTGATTCGGCGAAAGCGTGAATTTAGGGACAGGAGTGCAATGATCTTGACCCTTGAGTATTGCTTACTTGATTTGAGACCTCCTTTACAATCTGATAATTTGTATGGTTTACCTTTGGTTCCTCTTTCCAATGGTTTATTCACAAATTTCGAGAAGAGAGGGGCGGGTGAAAGAATTTATATTGCACGTGGAGAAGAGTATGGTCTTCTCAAGGATTCAGTCCCACATCAACTTATAGATTGTGGGATCTCTGATGCTCTTCACAAGAAGTTATGTGATATAGCCCAAAGCGAGGATTTCAACATTTCTTTTTTGACATGCCATTTGCTCGAGAAGCTCTTTTTGAGATTATTTCCAGCAGAGTGGCAGAATGCTAAATGGGTAACTTGGGCCCCTGGTCACGAAGGGCAGCCTAGTTTGGAATGGATGGGGGTGCTATGGAACTATCTGAAGTCGTGTTGTGACGATCTTTCAGTATTTTCTAAGTGGCCTATTTTGCCAGTTGGAAACAGTTATCTCTTGCAGCTTGTCAGAAATTCAAATGTAATTAAAGATGATGGCTGGAGCGAGAACATGTCTTCTCTGTTGCTGAGAGTAGGATGCCTAATATTGAGACGCGACCTTCCAATAGATCATCCACAACTAGAAAATTATGTGCAGTCTCCAACGGCAACTGGCATTTTAAATGCATTACTGGCAGTTGCCAATAAGCCAGAAAACATTGAGGATCTCTTTGGTGATGCATCTGAGAGTGAGCTGCATGAACTTCGCAGTTTTATTCTTCAGTCAAAGTGGTTCAGTGAAGGCTCAGTGAATGACATGCATATGGACATCATCAAACACCTCCCTATGTTTGAGTCATTCAAAAGCAGAGAACGAGTATGTTTGACTAAACCTACCAAATGGCTTCAACCAAATGGTGTGCGGGAGGATCTTTTGGATGATAACTTCGTACGCATGGAATCAGAGAAAGAAAGAAGCATTCTGAAAAATTATTTAGAGATTAGAGAACCTTCAAGGGTGGAGTTCTACAGAAGTTGCGTACTCAGTCGCATGCCAGAATTTATTTCACAGAAGGGAGCGCTCTCGACCATTTTACATGATGTTAAGCTTTTGATTGGAGAGGATAACTCCATCAAAATGGTACTTTCCAATACACCTTTTGTTTTGGCACGTGATGGAACTTGGCGGGAGCCATCGAGGTATGTTGTTTTTTCTTTGTTTTAGATCCAGATGTTAAAATCTGTTTTTCTGGTAGTAAAGTGATTAATAACCTTAAAAAGTGCTCTTCCTCTTAGAATTAATTCAAATGATTATGTTTCAGTTTAACGGGATAGTCAATTGCCAACAACTTTAATGTTACAAATAGTGGTTGTGTTATTTGGACTCTAATAGTTAATGGCTGTGCTTTAACTCGTAAATTGCAGTTTAAACAGCTAATAGAGATGAAACTGAAACAAGTTGAGCTGAATTTTCAGTAGCATTGACCTGTGATTGTACTTTATTGCACTTATCTTTTTGTTTCCTTTTCACACACATATGCTTGGTGTAAAGGGAAAACCTTTGATTGACAAGCGTGTATATACGGGTTCGAGTCTGATAGCAGCGACTTTTTCTAAAAGTAATACCAAAGATTAGGTTTGTCTCTAATCTTCTCCTCCCAGGACACTGCATATGCAGGACCATCATCAAGCCTCAGCTAATTCCCTTTGCTTGTGAGCTCTGCTAAGATAAGTCTGAGATTGAGATCGGCTTATTTGAAAAATGATCTCTGAGAATGGGTTTTAAGATTGGCCATTTTTTCCCTTTTCACACAAATTTGACTGAGTTTGTCAGCGTGCCAACACTGAGATGTTCATCAACTGCTCCATTTCCTGCCCTAGTAGCAAGTTGTACTGCATAAGCTACACCAGCATAAGTTTTTACCATCAATAAGTTTTAGGAAGACTTTTTTACTAAGTAGTTCACTATCAGCACAGCTAGATCCATTTAGCAGGAAAGACAACTCTCATTCAGAACCTTTTGAGAGTACTTTTAGTTACATATGCTTCCTAAATAAACATGAACATGTGTCTATATTTACATTGTTTTTACAGGCTTTATGATCCTCGTGTTCCTCAGCTACAAAAGGTGCTCCATGGAGAAGTTTTCTTCCCTTCTGATAAATTCTCAGATCCTGAAACTCTGGATACTCTAGTGAACCTTGGACTTAGACAAACCTTGGGCTATACTGGTTTGCTTGATTGTGCTAGGTCAGTTTCTATGTTGCATGATTTGAGTGACTCAGAAACTGTCAGCTACGGGAGGAGGTTACTTGTTTGTTTGGATGTAATGGCATTCAGACTCTCAAGTGAGGAATGTGAGGGAGATTCTGATGAATGTAGAACTGCCATTGAATGTCAGACCAGCAGTGCTTCTGATGGCAAAGCAGTGGATCACACTCCAGAGTGTTCTGAGAACAGTTCTGAAGATGTTCTTGACATTGATTTATTTGTAGGCAACCTGATCGATGATAAGCCTGGAGAAGAATTTTGGTCAGAATTAAAATCCATTTCTTGGTGCCCTGTATATGCTGATCCTCCTCTACAAGGTCTTCCATGGTTGGTATCAAGCCTTCAAGTGGCAGCTCCGGTCATTGTGAGACCTAAATCCCAGATGTGGATTGTTTCGTCTAAGATGCATATCTTAGATGGTGAATGCTGCTCAATGTACCTACAACGTAAACTTGGTTGGGTGGATTGCCTAAATGTAGATATATTGTCCTCTCAACTAATTTCACTATCCAAATCCTATGCTCAGAGGAAGCTACATAATACAGTGGAACCAATTTTTGATGCTGCACTGCAAAAAGAAATTCCTTCACTTTATTTAAAGATGCAAGAATATATTGGTACCGATGGTTTTATGGTTCTAAAATCTGCCTTGAATGGTGTTTCATGGATTTGGATTGGAGACGATTTTATATCCTCAAATGCACTTGCATTTGATTCACCAGTGAAATATAGTCCCTACCTGTATGTCGTACCATCTGAGTTATCGGAATTCAGAGATTTGCTTTTGGCATTAGGTGTCAGAATTAGTTTTGATGTTTTTGATTATTTTCATGTTCTACATCGCTTGCAGAATGATGTGAAAGGGTACCCCCTATCAACTGATCAGTTGAGTTTTGTCCATCGTGTCCTAGAAGCTGTTGCAGATTGTTATTCAGATAAGCCATTGCTTGAGGCTTCTAATACTCCATTGTTAATTCCAGATTCTTCTGGAGTTCTTATGTGTTCTGCAGATCTTGTATATAATGATGCACCATGGCTGGAGAATAAAACCTTCACCGGGAAGCATTTCATACATCCAAGTATGAGTAATGATCTGGCAAATAGGTTGGGGGTTCAATCACTTCGTTGTATGTCTCTAGTCAGTGATGAAATGACTAAAGATTTACCATGCATGGACTATGCTAGAGTATGTGAGCTTCTTGAATTGTTTGGGAACAATGACTTTTTGTTATTTGACCTTCTAGAGTTAGCGGATTGCTGCAAAGCAAAAAAGCTTCACCTGATCTTCGACAAGAGGGAACATCCACGTCAGTCTTTGTTGCAGCACAATCTAGGTAAGTAGTGGTAATTTTAGACTTCGGTTATTGCTTTAGCTGTGTCAATATAACAAGGATAATTGAAACATATGGGACTTGTAAATTTGTTGTCTATTGGGCTCTACGTGAGCCATTAATTTTGCAGTAAACCCACTGCAAAATTAACTAGCCACATATGCTAACCTTGATTCCAGAGTTAAAAGAACAAATTGGCTTGTGGTAAATGTACAATCTAGCTGCATATCAGTTTATGTTCCTGTGAAACTAGAGAACTTCTTTTAAACTGATATGATTCTTAGATATCTCCGTAAGCTTAATGGTGAATTATAAGGTTGTAACATTTTATTAGTTTTCATTCTGTTGCAAACTGACTTTGTCATATATTTTATTCATTGAATGGTAATTGGTACAGGTGAATTTCAAGGGCCTGCTCTTGTAGCCATTCTGGAAGGGGCCAACTTGAGTAGAGAGGAAGTAAGTAGCCTACAGTTTCTTCCTCCATGGAGACTGCGGGGCGATACCGTTAACTACGGGTTAGGACTACTTGGCTGTTATTTCATCTGTGATCTCCTATCAGTTGTTTCTGAGGGCTACTTTTATATGTTTGATCCTCGTGGCTTGGCTTTTGCGGTACCTTCAACCCTTGCTCCTGCAGCAAAAATGTTCTCTCTGATGGGTAGGTGTTCATACACAACGCATGCAACCTTTTTCTTCCCTACTCAGATATTAATATATCATATATAATTAGTTATATACAGTTCTACATTTGTCATTATAAATCCTTGGCATCGTTGAGTTATGTGGTGTGAGTGATCACTTATATGGAGACAATTCGTTGATTGTTCTGTTGTTATTCTTATTATTATTATTATTTTGACAAAAAAGGGGGAAAGAAAGAAAAGAATATCCTTTGGTTTTTCTCTTTTCTTGGCATGTTTTTGTGTTGAATTTTGTCAATTGAAAATTTCTGCTTTCTGAGGGCATTGAGAACACAGAGTGTTATGTCTCGTTTTTTTCTAAGAAACAAAGATGGGATTAAGTAAGAGATTTCAGTAAGGATTATAATCTTCTTATGTGAACTGTTTTTGGGCTGTTGGTTTGGGGTAACACTTGACCGTTGGCACACTGGCATTGAATGAAAAAGGCCAGTTGTAATATAATTGAGACGCAGTTTGGGAAAGATGGTATTTAACTTAATAGATTCTCTAAATTGATTTGGAGTGGGGGAATAGGTCCTGTTTGCTCAATTGTTTGTTTTTAAATTTTAGTTAATCCTTAATTGTTTTACAAGGACACAAGCAAAGAGATGAAGAATGCAATATTACAAAAGTAGACAGAGAATGCCTCAGCAATTTTTAACGTGAAAAAACTAGAAGGAAAAAACCATGAAGACTGTGTTGTCTCGAGGCGAACAAATCCACTATCTCTCAAATAGGGTACACCAATTTCAGTCCCTTTAGAATACTTCAACCTTCAGACTCTAGTACATTAGAGTCACTTGATGTTGCTTTGCCTCTTTGACTCTTAGTGCTCTCCAATTTTAGTAGCTTCGGAGTTACCAGCAACATTAATTCTTGCTAATGCAATCACCTTGTGCTGATATTCATTTGTATGACCATATTCATTCTCATGTCCCATCCTTTCTATCTGGGTAGGTCCAAGCCAAGGCCATAAGGTTGCGCTGAGTTTAACCTCCTCACACAGATATCAGGAATTGGTGATTGCATCCCAATCAATCTTTTTTTTTCATTTCCCTGCTGGTCTTTGGGTGTGTGTGCTTTGTTCAGTAGTTGGGGCAGACTCGTACAAAACTTGACCCTAAGGCATTGAAGTGTGTGTTTTTGGGCTATTCTCAATCTCAAAAAGGTTTATAGGTTTACCATCCTCCCATTCATTGGCGGTTTATATCCATGGATGTCTCTTTCTTTGAGCATACACTATACTATAATGGTTTATTTGGTCCTCAGAGTGAGTGGTTCCCATTGAACACGGTTGACGATCACCTCTCTCCCCTTTCCTTTTTTTTTTTGCCCCTGATGATCACTTCCTTCCGTGTCCTCTACATTTTCCTGCTTCCTCTTCTACTATTCCTCCTTGTGATAACCCTCTGGCAAGAGGAAATGTTCATTTTTTCACAAGTTTACAGTCATAGACAACATGATTATGCTTCTACTCCCACGACCGACCGCCTTGTCCCTTCGGCACCACTTCTGCCTACTCAAGCTGTTGTTCCGCTTGATGATCCCTTATTTGTCTTCGGAAGGGTAAACATTCTTGTACTTACCCTATTTCAGATTTTGTTTCTGTTGCCTCAGTTCCTCTTACTTCTAGTGCTGCAGATGCACTAGCACAACCACAATGGCGAGATGCTGTGCTGAAGAACTGCAGGCACTTGAAAAAAAAAAATCAGACTTGGGACATGCTTCTGCTTCCTGTTGGATGAAAGGTTGTGGGCTATTGTTGGGTGTTTGCAGTGAAGCATAATACAGATGGGCCAGTTGCTCGTTATAAGGCCCGATTGATTTCCAAGGGTTATGCTCAGACTGATGGCATAGATTATCGGGACACTTTTGCCCCTGTTGCCAAGATGAACTCCATCCGCGTATTATTTTCCATTGTTGCAATATGTTCCTGGCCTCTATTTCAATTAGATGTCAAGAACACCTTTCTCAATGGTGACTTACAACGGAGGTGTATATGGTTCCCCCTCCGGGTTTTCACTCTCCTGCTCATTCAGGGATGGTCTGTCGTCTTCACCGCTCCCTGTATGGCCTTAAGCAGTCCCCTCGAGCTTGGTCTGATCGCTTTGGCACTACCATGCTCCAGTTTGGTTTTCATTGGAGTGCAGCTGATCATACCATGTTTTTACGTCATTCAGGCGGCAAGGCAGTTGCTTTTATTGTGTATGTCAATGATATTTATCTTGGTCCCCTACGGTTCTTCTTGGGCATTGAGGTGGCTCGCTTCAAGTCTGCCATTAGCATTGCAACAAACAATTGTTAGACCAAACAATCTTAGCAACACCTTCCTTACAGATCTTCTTGGGTAAGATAAAAACAGAACTGCAGTAGACTTGAATGGAAAATAGAGATGATCTGACCGGCTGCAATCTGCCAGCGTAGGAAAGCCACTTGTTTGTCCACGATTGCACATTCTTAGTTAACCTCTCAATCAGTTCTTTACATTGATGAGCTCTCGGTGGAGAGGAAGCTAAAGGCACCCCCCCAAGTATTTCACTGGGAGTTTTCCTTTATTAAATTCAGTAATAGATAAGATATCATTTTTTTCTCTCATATTCTTCCCTTCCACCAGAGAAAAAATTCATTGATTTCTGGGAATAGGTCTGAAGTCAGATAAAATAGATGGGAAATTAGTCTTAGGAATTAGGGCAATAACGGTGCAATTAATCTCTCAGCATGCAACGGGACATAAAATAAGACTGCATATCTTCAGCCCTCTTGGAAAAAGAAACAAGGTAATCATCGGGCCCAGGGGCTTTACCCTCCTTTAAGCTGAAAACCAGCCTTCTAATTTCATCACCAGTAATAGTTAGTATATTCACATAATAACTGGTGTGCAATGCCTAACAGCTAGATTTGTCCTTGAAATTTATATTGCAATCTTTTTTCCTGCTTATTTTTACTCACTATTTAAGGTGGCCTATTGTCTAAAAGTTAAAATACCTTTGTTTCTGTTTTTGTTTTTTACTTTTATTTGTTTTCTTATGGTGAAATTTTTTATAATAGTTTGCACTGTACATTCAGTTTCCATGTGGTATAATTTAAGAACTGACAAGGTTTTCTTGAATAAATTTCAGGTACAAATCTGACCGAGCAATTCCGTGATCAATTCAACCCAATGCTCATTGGTCAAAATATGCCATGGTCATCGTCAAATACTACCGCTATCCGCATGCCTCTTTCATCTGAATGCATGAAAGATGGAATTGAGGGTGGATTGGAGATAATAAAACAAATATTCAACAAATTTACGGAGCATGGTTCTAGAACACTTCTATTCTTAAAATCAGTTTTACAGGTAATAATTAATCTTGAATGGTTCCCGCTAATGTCTGTATGAAGCTATTGCTTGCAAAATTGGAGGTGGTAAATTTTCTTAATTTCTGTATTTAAAAGAGAATAATAGATTCTTAACCCAAAAACAAGAAAAAGAAAAAAAGAAAAGAAAAATGAGTAGTCAATCCACAACTGTTGACAGTGATGCAGTAGAGGGAGTTTCAAAATGCTTTTTGTTTGGTGCATTAGACAAAAACCCACACCTGTGGCATATTTTCAGTGTTAAAGCTAGAATAAAATAGTGAAAGAAAGCAACAAGATTGAAGTTAAATTTTTTTATTTGTGTGGCCTAGCGGTATCGGCCTCTTACTTCCCAAAGGGAGGTTAGTGGTTCAAGTCTCTGAAGAGACAAGTGTGTGTGAGTACCAACTAGGAAAAAAAAAAAAAAAAATTGTCAGGTTTTTAGAGACCCAAAATTAACATGATCATAGTCTACTTGCGACAACGACAATATTGTAGCTGTTGATTACTCCTAAAAGCTTTTAGTAGTCCTTATACTTAAAATGTTCACATGCTCATCAAATGACTATTTGAATTGTCACGCCTTGTACCCTAACTATACAAATAATGTCAAAGTCAACCAGTGTTAATGAAAATCCTCTGAAACATTCTATCACACTAAGATTTTTCCAATAAACAAGTGCATAATTTTTTCCGTCTATAAATCTCATTGATAACCTTTATAAATTTACATAACAAAATATTCCTTACATCTCAAATATTTTATATCAACAAAAATTACACGATTCATTTAATTTTAATTTACATTAATACCAACAAAAGCCTATTATAAAATTTTTTAATGACAAAAGCCTCAAAGTGAATGTGATACTTCCATATACAAAGGTAAATAAACAAATGGTAAATATTTTCTATTTGTATATCCCAAATAACTTACAAAAGGAAGGAACAAGAAGCAACAAATAAACAAATGGTAAATATTTTCTATTTGTATTTAATCAATAACTACTCCAAATTGAAAATACAGCCTGTGTATATAGATGAGATAGACAGTATACAAAGATACAATCTATATATTTGGTCTAGTCTGAAGGAACAATAAAAAATTCCAGGTATCAAAAATTAAATAAAGAAAAGGCAGCCTATATATACAATATATATATGCCGCTGGCTATGATTCAGTATTTACCAATGCAAATAAACACACATCAAATACTAAAATGTTTACCTAATATTTGCAAAGGATGTGTAAATCAGTATGCAGCCTATATATACAACAAATACTATAATATTTACCCAATATACGCAAGGGATTTAGAGATCAGTATGTAGTCTTTATATACAATGATATATGCTCAAGCCAAGAATTTTTTATTTTGTACTTCTGGAACCGGTAAATCTCCTGTGTGTATAGTTATTTATGTATAGAAAGCGGTATGTTATCAACAACTATAGGTATATAGCAGTGGATATACCCAGGTACATATATATATGTATATATATATATATATGTATATGTATATGTATGTTTCTGTAATCTATAGAGAAAAACACTGTATCTATGTAACAGAATCTACCGGTCCTCAAATCTTGCCAAATCAAGTTTCTTCCGATCTATTTTCTCTTCAGTGATAGGCGATCCGGAGTTATCATGAGACTCGAGGAGTGTGAGTCAAAGACGATTGAGGGTTTTGGGTTTCTGTCATGATACAGTTGCGGACGACTGGGGTTCTTGTTATGGCTTCACCGCTTCACGAAATCATGAGCTGGTTGAAGCGTAGTTGGGGAGGCCGGAAAGCTAATTGGAAGGAGTAGGCCAGCGAGCTGCCTGGGATTTCCGAGAACGTGAGTGGGGAGGGGGACTGTTGGTAGTGGTAGAACAGAAAATAGACACTTTAGCACCATGTATCTTCCTGAAAACAACTTTGGTGTCATTCATACATTATACTTAATTAATGGTACAAACTTATGAAAACCTAGTGAAATATATCAATTGGAACAATAGTGGCTTTCTCAATCTGTTAGTTGGGGTCCTTAATGATTACTGTGAATCCAGTTCTTATTTTGTGTGGTCTAGCAAGCATCTTTTTGAATGTTTTTTATTTATTCCAGCTTTAATGATTTTGTTGAAAGAAGATTCAACTCCTTTGTTGGATTTTCTGGTGTTAGTTTACTTCCGTAAAGCTGCTTATACCATATTATATTATGATTTCTTGCTGTGATTGTTGTATAACTTGTTAGCAATATCTTCTTATTTTCACTATTTTTGCTTAAATTCATGTTTTCAGGTTTCACTATCAACATGGGAGGAAGGAAGTACACAGCCTTGTCAAGATTATTCAATTTATATTGATTCCTCATATGCAATTGCTAGAAATCCTTTTTCAGAAAAGAAGTGGAGAAAGTTCCAAATATCAAGGTTATTTAGTAGCTCAAATGCTGCGACCAAGTTCCATGTAATAGATGTGAAGTTGTACAAAGGAGGAAGTAGAGTTGTTGATCGATGGCTCATTGTGCTTAGCCTGGGTTCTGGGCAAACAAGAAATATGGCCCTTGATAGGTAAGCTAGAAAATAAATTGTCTGGTTGTTCTTATAATGTTTACTCCACTGGATAGAAAAATACAGAATTCCATATATTTCATGTTTATCTTAAAGAAAAATTTGTGTTTGGTTAGAAAAGAAAAAAGTAATTTTTGGAACTCCTTGAGGAAGTTGTTTACTTTTCAAAGACAGAAAGTAACTTAAGAGGAGCGCCTATATATAACTATGATGTGTGTAAGATGGCACATAGTTTTCGTGTGAAGAACTTTAGTATAGATTTTCTCTCTTGTAATGTATCATCCCTTGCCTCTGTTTGGCGTTAAAAGAACGATTCTGTTAACAAATTAATTGGAGTACTGAAATTCCTTTGAATTAAAGTACGGGAAAGAAAAAAAAAAAAAAAAATGAAGCCAAAAGGGGCAACATGCAGAAAATCCCCTGAACTATCAATAACTACAATATAAATTCATAAAATAAACCCTAATTTGTGAGTTAAAAATTCAAGAGGTAAAATTATCTTTATACCCTTGATATGATCTTTAAATCGTTGTCTATAAAGTCTATGGATCATGAGGTGACTTCTAACTCTAATCAACTTAACTAACTTTCAGAAATAAAATAATTTAATGGCAATGATACAGACCCCAACTTTTGTTATGAAGTCTGCCAAATACTAGGTCCCACCGAACACCATGGCCCTTTTCTATGAATATTAGTCCAATACTAAGTCCCTTCACCAAGTCTGCTTTCCTAAAGTACTTTATAGTTGACAGAGACTGATATATGACATGCATTCAAGCACCTACTATAAATTAGGGTACAGTTTGTGGATTTAGATTTTCGGGTTTTGGAAGCTAAGATTGACGTATTGATGTTGTGGGAAATAGTTGGTGAGATGTGGATATGGATGGTTGTTGAGAACAAGAAGTTTTGAATATAAAAGAAAAGAATAGGGAAGGTTAGATAACAAAGAACAAAACCTAGTATCACACTAGGGCTTTGTAAATCTTCCCAGTTCTTTGTAATTACAAAAATAGTTTGCTGGCTGTGCAATTTCTCTTTAGATTCATTGCTCTATAATGCTCCTGGAGCCCCTTTTATATTTCTGTTTGCTGGACACCATCATCATTTTTCCCTAATGAGATTGTAGAATATTTTTGTTAGCTCTCTAATAAGCCTAATTCACTCATGTCTCCTTAATTGGGTTTCCTTATAGTCTATAATTAAATTCAATTCAAAATGGTACTTATGAAAATTGGTGTAACAAATAATTGACAAGTGTAAGGTAGTATTATTTAACCTTACATATGCAGAAGGAGAAGCATTCTTTTGACTTGGGCAACATGAAGAATAGAATATCTATGTGATCTTGATTGTCCGTGTAGAAAGTTTTGAACCAGAATGCCTACCTATGCTGGGTATACTTGGATTATTGTTACATAAACTGCATGTGCCAGGTTTTGCTTATATTATGTGCAGCCAATTTAAAGAGGAACATGAATTTTGTGTTGCTTAAGGATGACCTGCAAATGGCATTTCACGAGTTACATTTTAATTGTTATTTACTCCTGCAAATGACTCCTGGACAAAATACTGTTTTCTGATTTGTGGCACCATTATATTTATCAATCATATTTTTTACGTACAGGCGCTATTTGGCATACAACTTGACACCTGTTGCTGGAGTTGCAGCACATGTATCCCGAAATGGCCATCCTGCTGAGGCTTATTTGTCAAGTTCTATTATGTCCCCTCTTCCTTTATCTAGTGAAATAAACTTACCTGTCACAGTTCTTGGATGTTTCCTTGTGCGTCATAATCGAGGTCGTTACCTCTTCAAATATCAAGACATGGAAGCTTTGGCAGAGGCACAACCTGATGCTGGAAATCAGTTGATAGAAGCATGGAACAGAGAACTGATGTATTGTGTCCGTGATTCCTACATCGAAATGGTGTTGGAAATGCAGAAGTTAAAAAGAGAACCATCAAGTTCTACTCTTGAGTCCAGTGTGGGCCATGCTGTTGGTGTAACTTTGAATGCCTACGGAGATCAAATTTATTCTTTCTGGCCTAGGTCTGCTGGGCATTCATCTAGTTCTCAAGTAGTTGACAGCAATAACCTAACTTCAACAAAGATGCTTAAGGCAGACTGGGAATGCTTAGCTGAACAAGTAATTAGGCCTTTCTATGCCCGCGTCGTCGACCTTCCTGTGTGGCAGCTGTTCTCAGGAAATCTAGTCAAGGCTGAAGAGGGTATGTTTCTTTCACAACCTGGAAATGGGGTGGGTGGGAATTTGCTACCAGCCACAGTTTGTGCCTTTGTGAAGGAACATTATCCAGTGTTTTCAGTGCCTTGGGAATTGGTGACTGAAATCCAGGCAATAGGGATCTATGTTCGAGAAATCAAACCAAAGATGGTTCGAGACCTTCTTAGGGTTTCTTCAACTTCTATCATTCTTCGATCAGTTGATACATATGTAGATGTCATTGAGTATTGTTTGTCTGACATTCAGTTTATGAACCCATCTGATTTGAGTGGAGATGATAAATTAGTGGACATCATCTATAGAGCAAGCAAAGAAGGGGGCAGCAGCTCTGCTTCTGGATCAATCCCAGGTTTGCGGGGACTTCATGGTATGTCTGCCCCAGGTCAGGTCAGTTCGGGTCCTTCAGGAGGTGATGCACTAGAAATGATGACTAGTTTAGGGAAGGCTTTATTTGACTTTGGCCGGGGAGTTGTTGAAGATATTGGTAGGGCAGGTGGTCCAATGGTTCAGTGGAACAGTGTGGATGGTATCAATGACGGAATCATCAAAAATGTGGATCAGAAGCTTTTATCTATAGCTGCTGAGCTTAAAGGCTTACCATGTCCAACAGCAACAAATCATTTAATAAGGTTGGGGGCTACTGAAGTTTGGGTTGGAAACAAGGAGCAACAAACCCTGATGGTTTCTTTAGCAGCAAAGTTTATCCATCCAAAAGTATTGGAAAGACCAATCTTGGCTGATATTTTTTCTAACAGTACATTTCAAATGTTACTGAAACTGCAAAGCTTCTCTCTTCACTTGCTGGCTAATAATATGAGGCTGCTTTTTAATGAAAACTGGGTGAATCATGTGATAGAATCAGATATGGCTCCTTGGTTTTCATGGGAAAACACTATGGGCTCTGGTAGTGAAGGGGCACCTTCTCCTGAATGGATAAGGCTCTTCTGGAGAAGTTTTAGTGGCTCATTGCAAGACCTCTCACTCTTCTCTGATTGGCCTCTTATTCCGGCTTTTCTTGGTAGGCCAATCCTATGCCGTGTAAGGGAGCGTCATCTGGTTTTCATTCCACCCTCCATTATAGATGCAAACTCCGCATCCACTCTAACTGAAATGGGTGCGACAGAAAGTGATCCATCTGTATTAGTTTCTGAGTCTGAATCAATCCAGCCCTACACTTTAGCTTTTAAGGTTGCCAAAAGCAGATATCCTTGGTTGTTGTCATTACTGAACCAGTGCAACATACCCATATTTGATGCTACTTTCATTGACTGTGCTGCTCCATGTAATTGTTCCCCTTCACCTGACCAATCATTGGGGCAAGTTATTGCATCCAAGCTTGTGGCAGCTAATCATGCTGGCTATTTCCCTGAACTAACTTCGTTTTCAGCTTCAGATTGTGATGAACTTTTAACATTATTTGCTTCTGATTTCTTTTCTAATGGCTCAAAATATGCGACTGAAGAACTTGAAGTGTTACATGATCTGCCTATATATAAAACTGTTGTTGGGTCATACACCAAATTGCAAAATCAAGATCTGTGTATGATCTCTTCAAATTCATCCCTCAAGCCATATGATGAGTGTTGCCTTTTTTACCACACAGACTCCACTGAAAGTTTATTACTTAAAGCCCTTGGGGTGCCTGAGTTGCATGATCAACAAATTTTGGTAAGGTTTGGGTTACCTGGGTTTGAACAGAAGCCCCAGTCCGAGCAGGAGGACATTCTGAAATATCTTTATACAAATTGGCATGATCTCCAATTAGATTCTTCCATTGTTGAAGCATTGAAGGAGACTAATTTTGTAAGAAATGCTGATGAATTTTCAGTAGATCTGTCTAAACCGAAGGATCTGTTTGATCCTGGTGATGTTCTATTAACGTCTGTATTCTCTGGTGAGATAAAGAAATTTCCTGGAGAAACGTTTATTACAGATGGATGGCTTTGCATTTTGAGAAAAGCAGGCCTTCGAACTGCAACAGAAGCAGATGTGATACTTGAATGCGCCAAAAGAGTAGAATCCCTTGGATGTGAATATTTAAATTCTAACAGGGTTCTTGATGAATTTGAGACAGACTTTTACAACTCTCAGAATGAAGTTTCTCTGGAAATCTGGTTGTTAGCTGAATCTGTTGTCAAAGTGATATTCTCAAACTTTGCTGTCCTTTATGGCAACAACTTCTGCAATTCCCTTGGCAAGATTGCATGCGTGCCTGCGGAAAAGGGTTTTCCAAATGTTGGTGGCAAGAAAGGTAGGAAAAGGGTGCTTTGTTCATACAATGAAGCTATCTTACTGAAGGAATGGCCACTCGCCTGGAGCTGTGCTCCCATTCTTTCCAGACAAAGTGTTGTTCCACCTGAGTACTCTTGGGGAGCACTCCATCTCAGGAGCCCTCCAGCATTTTCTACAGTTTTAGAACACCTGCAGGTAAGAAAGTTAGATCCATTCTATGCTTGCTCATGAGTACTTCCGTGTGAAAATAAACATGTAGCAGACATGTGCCCCAGGTTATTGGAAGAAATAATGGTGAAGACACCCTCGCTCACTGGCCAACTGCATCAGGCTTGATGACTATTGATGAGGCTTCTCTTGAGGTCTTAAAGTACCTGGACAAGGTTTGGGGTTCCCTTTCTTCTTCAGGTAGCTTCATATTTTGTTCTTGTCATACCTACATTATTGTTTCTTCCATGCGGTTGAACATTTAAACATCAACTGCCCTGGTTTTCTGGCAATCAGGAATGTCGTTATTTAAGCAATCCTGTGGCAGTTATTATATTTTGTGTCAAAAAAACCTTGAGGTTTCTAACATTTTATTCGATGGATTTAAATTGGTAGCATTAGTTGATGTTTTCTTGATTTTGTACCGTTAAAAAAAATTCATGTTTTAGTTCTTTATGATTTATTTTTTCTTTCTTTTCTTTCCCCCCCTAAGATGGCTGTCTAGTTGGGTTTTATTGATCGACCTTTGTACCCATGAACCGTGGCCTTTCTGTTCAGCTCACTGGTTTTAGTTTGAAAACGTTGGTTTGAGCAATAATAGGTGGGACTGTTGCAAAGCATTAAACGGAAGCGAAAAGATAAATAAAACAAGTAGAACACAAAGATATTACGTGGTTCAGCCACTAGGACCTACATCCACGGCACAAAGAGCCCAAAGGGCTACATCACTTTTATAATACTCTCTCAATTCATATAAAATACAATGGTGGAGGCTCCTTTATATAGGAGAAGAAATTATGAGAATGGAAAGAATTAGAAAATAGAAAACAAGGAGGATTTTTCTTCACTGATTCCTCTAGTAACACCAAATCTTCAAATATAGGAAACAACATCAATTACTGAAATATTTTCCTCCACTGATTCCTCCATTAAATCTTCAATAGGGACCATGGTTCGCCGAACCGGCCGGTTTGGGGTGTACCAGCCAGTTTGGATCGGTTTTTGAAGGATCCAATACTGTTACCCACCGATTTCTCGGGTGGTGTACAGATTTTACCCATGAACCGCTCAATTCTTTGCGAACCGGGCTGATTCGGGGTCGAACCACCGATTTTCTCCAAAGCAGGCCGGTTCGAACTGGCCCATGCAAGACACGCTACAGCAGCTGGGAGAGTGATTTAACTAAAAAACACATAGGAGCAAGGTTTCGAACCTTAGACCCCTTGCCCCTTGAGAATTCAAACCACTGAACCACAATGCATTTCTGTTTGTAAAGTTACAATAAATATATATATTCTATATAGATGGTTTAAGAATCACACTTTTAACTTGTGTTATATATATATTTTTTATTTTTACTTTCTCTTCTCACATGTTATATAAAAATTGAATTTTAATTATATTTTTATTCACTATATATCATACTTTTTAATAAGAGTAATAATATAGAATTTATAAATAGGTCACTAATTTAATAAAATTTACTAAAAATTTATTTTTGTTGAATTGTGTTAATTATATGTTATGCTTCATAATTCTTTTTATACAATTGACTAAAATTATATATATATTTCTCTACTCACATGTTATATATGGTATGAATGTTTATTTATTGAATGATTAAATTTATTATTGTTCACTAATTTACTAAAAATATAATTAGGATCGCAAGTTAAAAATTATAAATAAATTATAACTTTTGGTAAATGGTCTATAAAAATTCCCTAAAAATTTATAAAATTCACAAACAAATTATCTTTATTGGATTATGTTGTAAAAAGATGTGTATCGGTGCATTTTTGACCTTATGTGTGAGATTGAAAAAAATTCATGATTGTGATAATTGATTCCGTTTTGTAACGCCGACACAGGTATGATTCCGTTACACCACGACCGATACCGCGACTGCGAACCTTGGGTGGGACACTTACAATTAAATTTATCATTATTAACCAAAGAACTTTGAAGTAATGCATGGGTGTCATGCATTTTTGTTATATAGTAGGTACTTTTTCTTCTTTGAAGAATTCCATCTTTTGCCCAAGTAAACAAGCAAAAAGTAGCTGTTTTCCTATTTGTCAGATTTAAGGCTAGCCTATGTTAAAATGAAATTCTTCAAAGAAGAGAAATGTGGTCTTTCTGTTCAGCTCACTGGTTTAAGTTTGAAAATGTTGACTTGAGCAAAAATAGTCGGGACACTTGCAATGAAATTTATCTTTATTAACTAAAGAACTTTGAAATAATGCATGGGTGTCATGCATTTTTTTTGTATAGTAGTTATTTATGTTTCTTTGAAGAATTCCATTTCTTGCCCCAGTTAACAAGCGAACAGGTGGGGAAGCTTTTCATATTTTTTAGTTTTAAGTCAACACTGTCAAAATTTCCCGGCTTTATAGGCTGAGAAACAGCTGAACTAAGTTGTTCTTTTGCAAATGCCAATCTTCAACTATCATTTGATCCATTATTTCCATCTTATTTCTTTTTGTTTCCTTGCCAGATAGAGCAGAATTGCAGACAGTGCCATTTATGCCAGCTGCAAATGGTACACGCTTGGTGACAGCAAGCTCTCTTTTTGCACGTCTAACAATAAACCTATCCCCATTTGCATTTGAACTACCTACTGTATATCTTCCCTTTGTGAAGATTCTTAAAGAGTTGGGACTTCAGGACATGCTATCTATTCCATGTGCAAAAGATATCCTTTTGAATCTTCAGAAAGCTTGTGGATATCAGCATCTAAATCCAAATGAACTTCGTGCTGTAATGGAAATTTTGTTTTTCGTCTGTGATAAAACCACCCAGGCAAACATGTCAGATAGGTCCAACTGGGCATCGGCAGCTATTGTCCCAGATGATGGATGCAGACTTGTTCATGCTAAATCATGTGTGTACATTGATTCTTATGGTTCCCGGTATATCAAATATATCGACTCTTCCAGGCTAAAATTTGTTCACCCAGATCTTCCTGAGAGAATATGTACAGCTTTGGGAATCAAAAAACTGTCGGATGTTGTTGTACAGGTAGATTGACTTGCTGGATTTTCTTTCTGTCATTGTTTTTCAAAATCTTATTGGATTTTTCTTTTTCTTTTTATATATAGATTTTACCTTTACTGTTTTGGTTTTATATATGATATAAACATATCCCTATGTGCAGGAACTAGATCATGGGGAGAATCTACAGATTTTGGAACAGATTGGGTCAGTTCAACTAGCAGCCATCAGACACAAGTTGTTAAGTAAATCATTTCAGGCTGCAGTATGGAATGTTTTTAATAGTGTAGTCAGTGACATTCCAGCATTTGATAACCTAGCTTTGGAGAAAATACGGAGTTCTCTGGAGTCCGTTGCAGAAATGCTGCAGTTTGTTAGGTGCCTCCGAACTCGTTTTCTTCTCCTCCCAAAATCTTTAGACATTACTCGTGTAGCTAAGGAGTCCTTAATTCCTGGGTGGGAGGGTGGACCCCAAAATCGGACTCTTTATTTTGTTGACCAGTTGAAGACGTGTATGTTAGTTGCCGAACCGCCAACTTATATATCTGTTCTTGATGTTATTGCAATTGTTGTGAGCCAAGTATTAGGCTCTCCAATCCCACTGCCTATTGGATCTTTATTTCTATCTCCTGAAGACTCTGAGACTGCAATTGTCAATGTCTTAAAACTTTCTTCTGACAAGGGAGTAACTGAGTGCACAGGTGAAAATAATGGTTTTCTAGGCAGGGAAATAGTGCCCCAAGATGCTATTCAAGTACAATTTCACCCATTGAGACCCTTCTATACGGGAGAAATTGTGGCTTGGCGGTCTCAAAATGGAGAGAAGTTGAAATATGGTAGAGTTCCAGAGGATGTTAGACCATCAGCAGGACAAGCACTCTATAGATTCAAGGTGGAAACAGCACCTGGGCTGATTGAGCCTCTTCTTTCGTCACATGTTTTCTCATTCAGAAGTGTTGCATTTGGCAGTGAGGCTTCCTCATCAACCATGCTGGAGGATAATGGTACAGTTACTGAAAACATACTGCATGGTGAAGAATCAGATGGTTCTGGGAGAGGCAAAGCAACACATAAGGTATGTGCCTCTCTGACTTGCTCACTTTTAAAATTTTGAATGGCTTCATATGGATTTTATATGGAAAGTAACATCTGTCCATTGCTGTTAAATATTATAGAACCATGTGATTTTTGAACTAGTACATTACAAAATTCAATCCATCTATCTATTATAGTCAAGTCCTTGGAACCTTAGTATTATCAATAACAGCAAAAATGGAATACCTACACTGCTTCAGTCGGGCGCGCACCTCGCCTTACGCCTCAGGCTCTAGGAGGCCTTTGCGCTTTTGTGCACCTTGAGCCCTTAACAACTATGCGTATGCCACAGGATAATGCAGAAGGATGCGATCCACCAACTCACCATCAGTTTTACAAAGACGACAACAATTAACAAGTGTTACCTCTCTTTCTCAGATTATCCAACGTCAAAATCTTTCCCCATGTAGCTGTCCAAACAAAGAATGCGACTCTGAGTGGAGCCTTAGAGCGCTAAATAGTCCATGGGAAGTCGTGACCAACAAAATTGGATAAACGCAAGAACATGGATTTGACACCATATCTACCATGGGTGGAAAGGACCCACAAAATGTCTTCACAACCTCTGCCAACATCCTTCTGTTGATACAACAGATCTAAAAAAGCGCAAGCTTCTTCCATTTCCCAATCCTGAAACGCACATCCCATGTAACCCCACTACTATCAAGCCGATAACAGTCAACTACGCAAGCGTGCTTATTTTCGGCAATATTGTAGAGTCTGGGAAAGGAATGAGACAACAACTGATCTCCACACCATAAATCTTCCCAAAATCATACACGCCTACCATCCCGAACCTTGAATCTAATGTGTGAAGAAAAAACATCCCAACCCTTCCGAATGAATTTCCAAATGCCAACGCCTCCCGTGACAGTAACTGGATAAGAGGACCAGCCACCACGCTCTTTCCCAAAGCGACACGAGACAACCCTTCTCCACGGGCGATGACTTTCCCTACCGAATCTTCATAACCACTTTCCCAATAAAGCTCTATTAAAAGGGACCAACTTTCGAATACCTAAACCTCCGCTCCCAATTAAAGAGATGGTACTTGAACTCCTCTTCTCTTCCACCCCATAGAAAGTCCCTTTGAATTTTTTCAGTTCTTTTAGCAACCGAGCATGGGATTTGAAACAAGGATAAGAAATAAGTGGGAAGGGACGAGAGAGTACTCTTGATAAGAGTAACCTTTCCCCCTTTCGAAAGGTACTATTTTTTCCATCCTGCAAATCTCTTCTCATCCCTATTAATCACCGGGTCCCAACTCCCCACCCTCCTAGAGGAAACTCCCAAAGGCAATCGCAAATACGGAAGAGGAAAAGTACGCACTCCACACCCAAGAACTGCAGCTGAAGAGGAAATATCTGGAACATCCCCTATTGGGACAAACACACTTTTTCCAACATTAATCTTAAGCCCATAAACGGCTTGGAAACAGCTAAGGATGCATCTCAAATATCTGAGTTGGGAAACATCTGCATCACAAAAAACCGAAGTATCATCTGCAAACAACAAATGGGAGATCTCCATCTGATAAGCAACATCTCTGCTGACTTTGAACCCCCTGATGTAACCCAAATTCTCCGCTCTCTTCATTAACCTGCTCAATCCCTCCATGACTATGAGGAATAAGAAAGAAGATAGGGGGTCTCCTTGTCTCAAACCTCGAGAGCTCTTGAAGAAACCAACAGGAGATCCATTCACAAGCACAGAAAACATAACGGACGAAATACAAGTTTCGATCCATTTTATCCATCTATTTCTAAACCCCATCCTCCGAAGCAAGTAAAGAAGAAACTTCCAATTAACATGATCATAAGCTTTCTCGATGTCGAGTTTACATAAGATGCCAGAAACCCCACTCTTCAACCCGGAGTTGACACATTCCCCTGCAATCAGAACAGAATCCAAGATTTGTCGCCTGCCAACAAAAGCATTCTATGAATCTGAAATAATTCCATCCAAAACATTACTCATCCTAAGAACAAGAACCTTGGCAATAAGCTTGTACATGCATCCCACTAAGCTGATTGGCCAGAAGTCCTTAATGTTAGTGGCACTGCCCTTCTTAGGAATAAGGGCAATAAAAGATGCGTTCAATGACTTCTCAAATAAACCGTGAGAATGAAATTCCTGGAAGGTGCCCGTCACCTTGCTGCGCATTACCTCCCATCTCTCCTTGAGAAACCGCATCGTAAACCTATCTGGCCCTGGAGCTTTATCACCATTGCAACTCGATAACGCCTTGAGTACTTCTTCTTCAGTGAAAGGAACCTCAAGCCTATCACTATCCAACGTAGAAATAGTATTAAATTGAAGACCATCAAGCTTAGGTCTCCATCCCTAGGTCTCAGTGTAAAGTTGCTGATAAAAAGAAGCTATTCCCCCATGCACTTCATCCTCTTTCCACAGCTCTGAGCCATTCACACGGATACACCCGATGTGATTACATCTTCTGTGAGCGTTAGCAAGCCTGTGAAAGAATTTTGTATCGCGGTCCCCTTCTTTTAGCCACAAAGCCCGAGATTTTTTTTTTTTTTTTTTTTTTGATAATTTAGAATTTATTAAAAGCGCTCAAAAGGAGAGCAAAACTCGGAGAAAACAAAAAGGGCCAAAAGACGCCTTAGACCTTCAGAGAGGCCAAGAAAACAATGATTTCCTCCATAGATCTATAATCTCTCCCTGAAACCCAACAAAAAAGAGTAGAAATAACAGAGAACTTAAGCATAGAAATAGGCTTCTTTTTCCCGTCAAAATAACTCCTATTTCTCTCGAGCCAAATACACCACCAGATACAAAGCGGCGTAGCCCTCCACGCATCCTTAACACCTACCCCAACAGAGACGCCTCTCCAAGCTTCAATCAACCCTCTAGAGGAATAAGGCATGGCCCAATGGACCCCAAATAAACGAAGCATCAAATCCCAGCAGTCTCTGGCCATACTGCAATGTAAAAGGAGGTGATCAACTGATTCCTCATTACACAAGCACATATAACAATGATTGACCACCACCTGATTCCTCCTCCTCAAATTATCCTGGGTTAAAATCTTACCCAGGACAGAGGTCCAAGCAAAAAAGGCGACCTTGCGGGGAGCCTTAGAACGCCAAATAGACTTCCAGGGGAAGAGTTCGCCTTGACCATCCGAAAGACATCTAAAAAAGGACCTAACCTCAAACCGGCCTTGCAAGTTAGGAATCCATAACCACCCATCTGGCTCCCCAAAAGAAATCACTTGGCTATACAAAAGCTCCAGAAAACGAGAAACATCCTCGATCTCCCAATCCTGAAAATGCCTCCTGAACTGAACATCCCAAGTCAGTCTCCTGTTATCAAGATGATAACAGTCAACAACCATGGCCTATCGGTGAGAAGCAATCCTATAGAGCCGTGGGAAAGCGAGAGCAAGAGGGAGCTCCCCACACTAGAGATCCTTCCAAAAACTAATCCTCCTTCCATCTTTAATGCGAAAACGAACATGCTTGCAGAAGTCATCCCAACCCCTTCGAATGAAGTTACATACTCCCACCCCCCTTGGACCACGCATCGCCCGAGAGCACCACCCCCCACGACCTTCCCCAAGCTTGCTAGCAATAACTCTCCTCCATAACCAATGCCTCTCGATTCCAAAACTCCAGAGCCATTTACCAAGGAGAGCCTTATTAAAAGGCAACAACTTCCTTAACCCTAAGCCTCCAAACCGAATTGGACGACACACTTGATCCCACCGAACCAGGTGAAACTTGAACTCTTCTCCTTTCCACCCCCCACTCCCCCCCCCCCCCCCCCCCCCCAAAAAAAAGAAAATTACACTGCAATCTTTCAATTCTCTCAGCCACTGAAGAAGGAATCTGAAACAGAGATATGAAGTATGTAGGAAGGCTAGAAAGACTGGACTTTCCCTTGGAAATCCTCAGATCTTAGCCACATGTTTTCAAAGCGAAATGGTGTGCGTCTAGATCTCAATCCTCCGCAATCAAGAACTAAGGGCACATGGTCAGATGTCACCCTAACCAAAGCTGCCTGAGTTATATCCGGGAATTTCTCTTCCCACTCTCCTGAAATCAGGAATCTATCCAACCTTGAAAAAGTAACCGGATCTCTACCATTGGACCAAGTAAAGGCTGCCCCTTCCAATGGTAGATCAATAAGAAAGTGACTATCAATAAATTCTGAAAACTGGGTCATTTCCAAGGACCACCTACCCCCTGTAGACCTCTCAAACGGAGACCTATCAGAATAAAAATCCCCGCCTAAACACCAAGGCAACGACCACAATTCCTTGACAAAGCAGAGCTCTTCCCCAAAAGCAGGTCTGTCACAATCTATAACCAGCCCATAAACTCCAGAAAAACACACATGACAAAAAGTAGATTCCTTTCCAAATGCTCGTCCTTGACAACCACCTATGATCCCACATAACAAGAATTCCGCCCGAGGTGCCGGAGGCATTTAACGCTTCCCGTTCCACGAACCTTCCTCCCCAAAGGCTCTTGACCACCCCATCAGAAATAGATGCCATTTTAGTTTATTGTAGGCAAACAACATGGGCACTCCACTTCCTTACAGCTACCTTGACCACCCTCCCTTCGTTCGGATCATTTAGACCGCGAACGTTCCACGTAATAATTTATAGCTTCATTAAGATCCAAAAACAATCATCTCCCCTCCTCCCCATTTCCCACTTCTGATCCTTCCCCTTTCTTTTGTCACTCCATCTTTCCCCTCATAGTTAACATAGGAAATGAGATTCTTAACCTCCTGTTCCCCTTTCTGGTACATTAAATGTTTTCTGTTTTTGACCTCTTTCGTACCCTGAAAGGTCCCTGTATCATCTTTCCCTGCCACTAGTGCATGGAGAATGGACATAGTTTGTTCATCATTACCCTGTGAAGAGACACCCAACGCTTCACTAACCTCACCAATATTCTCTAGCACCCATTCCATGCCCAGATCATTACTTGTCTCTAGACAATCGGGCCGTACAACTGCTAAAGGTTCCACAATGCCCACATCAGTGTGATCCGTCTCCAGCCAAGGGTAAAAATCATTAGAATAGACCTGCTAAGAAAATTCCCGATCCCCAATCTCCTCCCCCTCACTCTCTTTGCCATTCCGGTACATATCCAACTGCATATTAGAATGTGTTTCAGAGTCATCCGGATCAACTGTCATCAAACTTTGGATGTCATTTGCCTTTGAATTGGATGGTAGACAATTTAAATCTTTCAAAGCTACAAAAAGCCTAAGCTCTTTAAACAGAGCCACCGCTGAATCGTCAGTCAATTTAAAATGAAGATCTCGTCCCACACAAACCGTCACCCCTTCAGAACTGCTTATACTTCCGGACATATCCTTCAAGACATTAATTGACCCATCAACCCGTGGAACTATGGACCCAGAAAAATCATTCTGTTGAACAGAAACATCCTCCACACCACCACCACTTCTCAGCGCCCCACAGGAAGGGGTAGTAGAAGAAGTAGAAAGTAAGGTCCGAGGATGAATAACAGAGTTCGTACCTGGACAGTTGAGGATATGAGAGTGTACTGCCCACTTCTGTTTTTCATTACGAGTCCACCGAGAACCATGGCGAGATCCCTGATACCGATGGGAAATCATCTCTTCGTTCTGGCCGGCCGTACTGACACTCATCTTTCTCCACTTTACTTTTTCGGATGAGGACCAATGTCTACTTAACCTGGACAGGCCTTGCATATGAGAAGGATGGGTCTTGGCCTGGACTTGATTACTTGGCCCCGATGAAGCTTTTGGACTGGGCTTATCGTTTTAAAAAGAGATGGATAAGGAATTAGGCCCTCGCTGTACCCATCTTTTAAATCCAATAGGCTTGGGCTTGAGAGGCCCATTATTCGGTCCATCATGATTAAATAACTCACACTTGGCCCACCCAAACACCCTCCGGCCCAAATCACCACCAACCCCAGCCCATTCTGAATCTCGGCCTCTCCCAATCTTATCACCAACCCCAATTCCAGAGGATAAGGATCGAGAATCTGGCGGTGAATCTCTACATCCTCCACGTGTATCCTTCCTTTGTTCTGTTTCGACGCGCCTAACCGGCACGTGCCGTCCACTTTGTCTTCCCCCCACAAACTTTATCTTCCTCTGAATCTCTCTTTCTTTCAACCATTTCTGGATCTCAAGCACCCCTTTCTCCCCTTTACTAATGGTCTTCGTCCATTTTTCCTCGACATTAAATGTGACCCATTGCTGCCTTCCAAGCTCTCCGATGAGGGAACAAGCTCCGGTAGGACTTCTTCCCAGATCGCGACTTTGTAGCAGAAGGTATTGTCGTTAATGAACACAAACTTCGGACATTTGGACCCATTTCTCACTGTAATCCGCACACTTTCTGCATCCCGCATCTCGTCAGCATCAAATCTCACAAATCCTCCACATAACTCCCCCACTTCAACGAACAAGGCTTGACACCATAGATGCAGAGGGAGTCCAAGCAACCGAATCTGCTTTAGCCCTTTATCTCTGAGAACACCACAGCAACCAACCCTGAAATACCACATGTCGATCCGCAAGGTTGCAGATCCCCATTGTCGCCGGCCTTCCTTCAACACCCGTTGAGCCTCTGCCTGAGATGGAAATCGAAAGAGGAGCAGCGAGTCAGATAAGGGCGTAAACCCTACCCCGCATGACGTGTTCCATGCTCGCGCCGCCCACTCGATCACACCCCCCAACCTCCTTGTCAAAATGTCCAACCAAACAAGATGATAGAACTGTCTTTCTTCCTCCGACGGACTCTCCGTCGATATACAACGAAGGCCTGCGGTGAGGAATCGCCGTCTTCACAACCCCTCCAAGCGAGATCCTTGGAATTCTAGCAATCTCCAGAAAAGTTTTCATGTCTAACCTAATCGCTCTAAATTCGCCCCTAGTGACGTCATACAAGAGCGTAAATTGTAATGACGTCATACGAAATGTCAGTTTAACAGAACAAAATTCTCTCTCTGCTATCCTTATAGTATCAAAACGCACTATTGCAAACTTTTCAGAATTAGTCTTATAGCTCAGTCATATGGTTTTGTTAATTGGAATATTCAAACCATAATACAAGTAATAAGAACAATGGTACCAATAAAAAATAACTTATAAGACATGGCAAATAGACAAAAAGGTATTTCTTTATTAAATGATTTTCTTTGCTATCCTTATAGTACCAGAAAACACCATTGCATGTGAATTTGTCAGGATCAGAATTATCCCATATGGCTTGGCATAAGAGAGACTAAATAGTCCCATAATCAGTCACGTGGTTTGTTGATTGGAATATTTAAACAATAATAACAATAACATGATGCCAACAACTAAAACCGCTGCACCAACAATATAAATAATAATTGCTCCTTTTGTTTGTCTTTCTTTCTGTTATAGGATGTCCAAAAGTAGGTATTCATATCAAGATAGAAATGTTGAAACTTTCCTAAATTATCCTTTAGTTTTGAAATTTTCCCAAATTAACAATTGGCATCTTTATATTTTGAAGAGTTAGTTATGTAATTTCACGAAAAGATGCTTGAAATGCATGTTCCCTTGAACAGTTTAGATTACTAAAAGAGACTTTTATTTTAGGAACAAGGGGGTATCATCAATAAGTTTCACCACTGCCCCACTGTGTCATCTTTATGGCAGACCATGAAGTATGATTATTCATCCCATTATGAATAGTTAAAAATTTTCATTCCAATAAATAAATGTCAATCTTATCACTGTCTACTTTACTATAGTGCTAGTTGTTAGGGCTGCAAGTTGGGCGGTCCCAACCCAACCCATTCCCAACCCAAACTCAACCCGAAATCGGGTTGGGTTTGGCCAGCCCGAATTCTACCAAAAATGGGTTATGTCCATAACCCAGCCCGAATATTTTGGGCGGGCGGGTTTCACCGGTCTTTTTTTTTTTTTTACGAATATGCAAATGACATTTTTCTTTTCCATGTAGAAAATTTTATTTTTTAATTTATTAATACTTGCCATTTTCTTTTAATAAATACCTAGAAGTGCAAATTGTCTATTATAATTGAAATAATGTGTTGAGTTTTAACTTATATTGTCTCAGCCCAATATTCTAGTGAACCATCAGTTGTGCGCGCGAGGACTTTGAACTCTTGAAGGCCAATTTTTTATGGCAACATGGAATATGAATGTGAAATTACTGTTAACATTGGAAATAATGTTTATATATACTCTTCCCAAATCCTTATTCATCATCGAATCAAAACTTATCAAAAAAAAATCATTATCGAATCAATACCTTTATCCTGTACAAACACTAGAATATAAACTGATAAAATTATTATTATTTTTTTACTGATAATTTTTTTTTATTTTTTGTCTCCCTTCTCTCTCCTCTCTCTTCTCTCTTTCTCTCTCTCTCTCCTTTTCTTTTTCCATTCATTTTTTCATCTTACAGGCGAAGGAGAGAGAGAGAAAAGCCTCCTTCGCCTGTAAGAAGAAAAAAATGAAGGGAAAAAGAAAAGAAGAGAGAGGAGAGAGAAGGGAGGCAAAAAAATAATAATAATAATATTTTTTTTTTCTTAAGTTTTTTTTTTTATTTTTTTATTTTGGGTTTTGGGTTGGGTTCGGGTTGAGCCCGAGCCCAACCCGAACATGCCTGGGTTTTGAGAAAACCCAACCCAATTCAATTTGGGCCCGATTTGTGAATTTAAAAGCCCAAATTTTAAAATTTTTGGGATGGTTTTGGGTTGGACTGGGTTAGCCCGCCCAAGTTGCACCCCTAGTGCTAGTGTACTGGGTAGACTGACTTGATCTTCAGAATCAGGTTATCAGAACTAATTGTCATAGGTGATGTCATCTGAAACATGTTTAAAGCACTGTTCACCCCTGATTAATATTATTCTCTCTCTCTCCTGTATTCTGGATTTTATCATGCTTTAAATTGAGTGAGGATTTGTGTATTGGCAGCAGCAGCCAGGTAAAGAGCTCCAGTATGGCCGAGTATCAGCCGCAGAACTAGTGCAGGCAGTTCATGAGATGCTTTCTGCAGCTGGGGTCAATATGGATGTGGAGAAGCAGTCCCTACTGCAGACAACAGTAACACTGCAAGAACAACTGAAGGAGTCTCAGGCAGCACTTTTGCTTGAGCAGGTATGTTGCTCGCAATTTCTTAACTTATTGTACATCATCCACTTGCAGAAATTCACATTGAAATAAGCACTTTACAATCATTTACAATATAATTTTTTCGTTATTGAAGCACCAGCATATTTTGTTCCAGATGAACCTTGGCCACGTATGACCATGTTTGTACCTGATGTATTACCTTAAGAGCGTTAAGAAAACTTAGCACGGTGGCCTTTACTGTTCATTATTTGGAACTTCTAAGTAGATGTTCATTCTACTTATGTGCGTTTGGCATGTAAGAATGGAATGGAATGCAGTTGGGAATGGAAAGAGAATAAGAAGAATAGAATGGAATGGTCACTCTCATTCTATTGTTTGGTTTGACCATCATTAAATCTAGAATGGAATAATTTTTCTCCAAAATATCCCTCTCATTAACCTACGTTACTTTTTTTAAGAAAATCAATCCAATTAATATTCTGATGATGGATTATGGTATGCTACAATAGGCCCAATATCGCCTCCGTCGAAAAAATAGAAGTAAAAATAAAAAATCACCAATGCACCAAATTTGATACAACACCATTCTGAAAAATAAATAAACCAAACTGTAAAAAAATAAAAAAAAATAAAAATAAAAGAAACTTGCTAAGGTTATGCTTTGAGGGTTGGGTATGGATAGAACTTGCTAGGGTTGTGTGTGGTGGGTGGTGTACAGGTAGAGACCTAGTGGGCGAGTAAGAAAATAAAAGAAAAGAAATGTAAAGCTTCTTCAAATTCAAAGAAATTTCAAACTACTTTCACCGTCCAATCCTCGTCTTCATCGTCATGTATACTTCCACTTCACCATTTCAAAAACTCATAATAATATGTTTCATTTAATTGCAACAAATTCCCTCTAAAAATCTCACTCCATCAAGTTCTCTACTGCAATCACTATTGTCATCACCACAAGAATTCAAGACCAGAAGTGAACCCAACATTGATATGCTCTGATGAAAGAAAAATGCAAAATGGATTGATTGGAGAGGATAATTTCTTTGACTATAACCATCCTCTTTGCTATATACCATCAATATCTTCGACCCACCAAAATTGGTGTTGGTGATGCATCGTAAATCCACTAACACACTAGTTTTGATTTTGAATGAAAAATCAGAGAAACAAAAAGATAAAAGAAAAGCGAAGATTCGCAAGTATGTTGGAGATTCTCAAGAGAGAGATACAAATCCATATATATATATATATATATAAGAAAAGAGTGAGAGAATGGAAGGTGAAGGGTTTTGTGAGAGAATGTGAGGGAGTATACAAAATGTGATGAAGGGCTTATTGGGAACATGAATTTTTTTTTTTTAATCTTACTAAGGAATGGAATGGCCATTCCATAGGTTTAATATTGGAATGGATTTTCATTCCAAGAGAATGGCCATTCTCACTTTAAAATTCATACCAAACAAAGGAATGGTACCAAACGTAGCATTAGGATAAAATGTAAAAAAAAAAAAATTCCCTATAACAGCTGAACTCCACCACATGGTATGATATTGTTCACTTTGGGCCCGAACCCGCATAGTTTTGCTGCTTTTGGGTTTTACCCTAAAAGGTCTTTTATACCATTTGGAGATACCACTAGCACATATATATAACTTCCTCTTTTTACACCAAAGTGATGTGGGATGTGCATCTGTAGCCTGCCAGTGCCTCGCATCTACCTACAAGGTCGCCACATCCCTTCTATGTAAGGACAAATAAGGATAATTCTTCAATTTAGAGACTAAAATACCTAATATGCCCTTTAGACAAAAATAATAATAAAAAAAAGAGCATTTTGAAAAATTTATAAAAGCCTCCCAAATTTTTATTTTTTATTATTTATTTCTTTTTTGTTTTTCTTATTTATTAATTTATTTTATTAAAATAAAACCTAAAATTCTCTCAAGGGTATTTTGGGGTTTTACAAAAAAAAATTGGTCAAAATTATTGACCGGGGGCAATTTGCTATAAATTTTTAAAATATAAGGATTTATATGCACTTTATAAAAACAAAAGCGGGGGTGTTTCTTGCACATTTTTTTATATAGCAAAGGTGTTTTTTTTTTTTTGCATTTTACCCTTCTACTTATTAAAAAAAAAAACTAGATATTCATTCCAAAAGTTTTTTTTTATATTCATCACTTGTATTTAGCAGTCATGACTTTGCAGGACATGTATAGGGTCGGCTTGCAAATTGTATGTTAAAAATAGTGGTAAATTCAACAGAAAATAATAATTATAAATACACTCTTTTTTGTTACAGCTTTTGGAACTAAGAACATGATCCTTTCAACATTTCTCCTGAAAAACCTAAATTTTCTCTTTTTATGAATCATGTTCATTTTCTAAAATTAAATAGGATGATTATCAGCAGTTGTTGAATTGGTTTGACCAAGTTGAGTTTTTCCAAAAAAGCACAATATGGGTCAAATTGATATCTTTTCTACAATAGTTACAAGCATCAGGAAACGCGAAGTAGCTTTGAAGAAGTAATATATAGTTTTTCAGATCAAAAGCCTTTAGATTAGCAAAAATTGCAAATCAAATGATGCCCTCTGTTGATTATGTAATCATCGTCCCAAATTATGATTGTGGAGCACACGGAAACTCGAATTGATATAATAAATTAAATTTTGCAGGAGAGGTCTGAAACGGCAGCCAAAGAAGTTGATACAGCTAAAGCAGCATGGTCGTGCCGAGTCTGTTTGAGCAATGAAGTCGATATTACAATAGTTCCTTGTGGTCATGTACTCTGTCGTCGATGCTCATCTGCTGTATCCAAGTGTCCATTCTGTCGACTGCAAGTCTCGAAAACTATAAGAATTTATCGGCCTTGATGACGTTGGTGCTTCAAAGAGGCACTTAGTTAACTGAATCTGGGATTTTACCTTTTTTTTCCCTTTCCCGGATGGACCAATGTTATTTTTCTTTGCTTTTCCTTTGTGAAGGAAAAAAAGTGGAAAGAAAGAAAGTATAGGAACTATTGGAAGAGAGTAATTTCTGTGTGTTGATGTAAAAAAGGTGCAGGGATCATAGTGAGAAAGTGGTACTAAAGTCTCAGCTTCAAATTCATATCCGAAGTTCTTGTTTTTTTTTTTTTTTTTTCCCTAGTTGGTATTTACATACATTGCCTCCACTAAGATTCGAATCCCTAACCTCCCTTTGGAAAGTAGGGGCCTTGTACCGTTAGGTCACATGCCTGTTGGTTTCTCCATGTCATTGTAATGGAGTACATTGTACATAAAGATTAATCAAAGTCGATACAAGTTGAGATGTGAAATTAATTTCATTTATCAGTCTTCATCTCCAGCTGTTTAAATGTGGAGAGGGATATGGGGTTGGATTGTGGCATGGTTCAGTCACGCCCAAGTTTTTATACCTTGCAGACGGTGTTCATAACATACAGATACACGAAAAATTTTAAATTCGGGTTTTTGATGGATTTTGGTGATTTTTCTAAATATCATTAAATAGAATTAATGATTTATACATGAATTTTTTAAGTTGTCTGTGGTGAAGGATTTGATAATTTGGACTTTTTATTTAATGAGCAATAATTGAATTTTTGACATGAGATAAAGAAAAAAATTAAATCTTATACAACATAGTATCAAATGAGAAGGGAATTAAAACCATACCTAGATTTGAGGTTGAGGCATGTGGCAATTTTCTATTCGTTATCATGTGTCAAAAGAGGGTTGAGTCACATGAGTAGAATCATTGAATAAACACAAATAACTGATCTTTAAAAGATAGTTTTGATCTTGGAGAATCTTAAAATAATTATTTAAATTTTTTTCTTGATAAATGACTTTTCAAAGTACAGATTTTTAAATAAATCTTAAAATCATCAGAAAACTGTTATTTCAATCAGCAAGTCAATTAATAGGTGGATCGATTGAACGTTTAAAATAAAAAAAAATAAAAAATTTACTGAATCTATTATGTTTGATAGATTGATCGTACAGCTTGGCAACAAGTTAGCAATTCATATATTTCGTTAAGGATTCAACTTGACGCCTTTATCGGTGTTTTGAGGTGTTTCCCTAGTAATTTTTTGAAGTGTAATTTTTTATTAATTGTAAACATGTTTACTCTATAAAAGAATAAAAAATAAAATAAAATAAAAATCTTTTTCTTGCTTTTCTATGGTTAATGTTTATGGCCTGTATTTCTTTTCATAAACTCGATTTTAGATAATTGGCATTTACTTTGTTTTATATAAACCATTTCACGAAGACTACTATCTATGGCCTGTTTCGACCAACTTGGCTTCCAACATAACTGTTTACAAGACTAATCTAATGCCTTTAAAATGGCCATGTCAATGTGTTTGGAAACTATGACACCAAGTTATTTATTTATTTATTAATTTTCATTTTTACCTTTTGCCAAAAAAAGAGAAATAAAATGGCACTTTAAGGAAATGAAGAGAAATAAAAGATGAGAAAAGTAAAAACAAACTTGGTTGAATAAAAGCAGTATGTACTCCATTTCACGGACCTCTGACAAGTTCTGCTCTCAAATTTAAAGCATAGTTTAAGAAGAGATGCAAATGAATCTGCTTGGTTTTGTAACTTTGAGAACAGTTTTCTGTTTTCAAAAACTGAAAACAGTAAAATGTACAAAAAAATTCTGTTTGGTTCAATTTTCTGAAAACTCAGTTATAAAATGACATGTTTTCAGATAACAGTCTTTTATTATTCTCTCAAAACTGTATCTTGTTCTCGGAATTCATAAGAACTATTTTCAGAATTACAAACCAAGCATGCCAATATTCGTGATTTTATGGCTTCTCAAATTGCAAATGACTTACATTTCAGGGAAATAATAAATATTGCAAATGACTTATTTTCCATTTCCCTATTCGTATTAGACTTATAATCCAACAAAAATGGTAAGCATTATTTTAAGCTTATGTTGTTTTTGTAGGGTATCAAATTGTTGAGAATCATGATCCTGCTGATTTCTAAGTTTTATATCAGGTCAAACAGGGCAGCCAAAAGGTCCAAACTACATTGATTCAAACAAAACTCAAAACTATATTCAGCATACCAATATATCCCATCAGACTCAGCAAATCTTGGTTCGATGGGAAAATTCACCTTCAATGTAGTACTTACATAGCAAAGAATTGAAAGAATTAAAAATATAATACAAAGGTTACTTGGCACTTACAATAGGAATTAAAATCGTTACATCACTGAAATTTAAAACTCTTTACTGTCTCATTGTTTTAGATGGCAGCATATCACACTGTTTCTTTGGTACAAAATTGCATGTGTCGTCGATAAACCTGTACACAGGTAGAACGTTTCAGTTTATTAGAAATGACTTAAAGCCGCTAACTAAACTAGATACTGATTATCATCTGAACTAAATAATTCTAAGCCAAACATATCAAACGTTGGTCACCATTTGTCGTTGCTTGCTTGCATCTACCTTGAAAACAATTTCAAATGAGTATAAGTTATGGAAATCACTAAGAACCCCGAAATCACTTGTTTTCTTCAGTTCCCTACTAATAGAGAAGACTTGAGCTATTTCAGAAGACTCAAAAGGAAGTTTTCGTAAATGCAAGTTACTGAAGCAAGATTCCTTCATTTCTCATAACAAAGCACTTTCTATCATTGATAAACGGAGATCTTAGCTATCTCAAAAAGACCTAAATGGAATTTTCAGTAGATTACCATGTTAATCTACCCAAGATAGCGAAGCAAGACTCCATCATTTCCTAGCACAAAACCTTTTTCACCATTGATAAACCTGCATCAGAGAGATTAAGAAAATCAAGAACTTGAAAGTTCTATGTGTTTCACGTTGAAAGCATGTAATATGAAAAAATTATTTTATGACCTCCATGTGCAACTGTAACAGTAAAGAATTATTTTATGACCTCCCAAATTTCCGAACCTTTCTTCATTCTTATATCAGGAAACATAACTTATTGATGCCCTTTTGGTTGCCAAAACAGATGAACAAAAAGAACAAACAGAAAAAAAAAAAAATATAGATATATATATATATATATATATAAATAAATAAAATTGAATCAACAACTACAATTCTGGCTGTAATTGTTATTAACATGTAAAACCTTGCAACTTTCCATCTGTCTTCCATATTGGTAGGCAAAAGCACTGGCATTCAGATATTAAAATAGAAGTGTAGATTTTTAAAAAGATGGGAGTTGGAAATAGCCGCAAAAAAAGGTTCATGCTATGCCATTTGAAAAGTTTTTTTTAATTTGATCATCCAAATAATTAAACCAACATCAAGTTTGTAGGAGGATCAAGCTCACTTTACTGAATAGAGATTGGCAGCAATATTATCAGCTGCTTTGTCACGAATCCATGTCTTGCCACCATTGGTGGTTCTCAGCAGAATCCCACTGCCCCCAGCTGCCCAAGCCTCTTCCTGTGAAATAAAATCATTTGGCATTCGAATAAAATGAGAGTTAGAAAATTGAACGAAAACAATTTATTTTTTTCTTTCTGTATATATACTAAGAAAGGTGGACTAAGATCAAAATTGGAAACCATAACATAATTAGACAACTTCAGAGGCCTAGAGATTCTCAAAGTTCATCCCTCTTTAGCCCCAAATAGATTTAGATTGGTGAATGGATTACCAATAACTGATTTTAAAATTATCTTAATTATATTTTAGAATGCAGCACTATGGATCAGTTACGTATAGAAAGCAGAAATAAATAAACTACGCAACTACACAAGAACAAACGAGTTTTGATAATAACTAGAAAGGAAGAAAGGGATGAGAATGAGAAGATAAGATGGGGCTAGACGAAGGAGGTGAGAAGACAGAAGAATAGGGATGAGAATCAGTTAGAAGGAGGTAGGATAGATGGGCGGGGGGATCAAGAACAGCAAGAACAAGAAGGGGAAGAGACACAAAGGGAGAGCGTTCGCAAACTCACGTAATAATTCAATAATTCTTAAAAACAGAGTTCTCAAATTACAAAGGAGCCTTTAAATAGGCAAATTATAAAGCAAACCCTAAAACATAAAAATACCAAAATAACCCTGAAATTCAAATCATGATAAAAATAACAATAAGCATAAATAAAAACCCTAAATTACTAAAATCCCCAATTTTATTTCTCTTTCCCTCTTCTCCAAAAATAATGTTGGAACACATGCAACTCATGTGTGCGATCACACCCTGTTCCCCATCAATTTAGACGAAAGGGGTGAGAACAAAGTGAATAGATAGGCAGGATAGACTGAATGGGTGAGAAAAGCACGAACAGAAATGCGAGAAACAATAGAACACAAATAGAGGCTCAAAGAAATGATAATCAATAATCTTCAAAAATTGAGTTCTCAAATTACAAAGGAGCCTTTAAATAGGCAAATTATAAAGCAAACCCTAAAACATAAAAATACCAAAATAACCTTGAAATTCAAATCATGATAAAAATAACAATAAGCATAAATATATGTGACAAGAATTAAGACGATTTATTCACTATCTTATGAATATAAAGCATAAGAAAACCCTAAATTACTAAAATCCCCAATTTTATTTATCTTTCCCTCTTCTCCAAAAGTAATGTTGGAACACATGCAACTCATGTGTGCGAATCACACCCCGTTCCCCATCAACACTCTAGATAATAACTCACCATCTAATGCAAGATGTAGAAGATGAAAACAACAATATGCCCTCTAAAATATATCATCTCTCAATAATGAGAGTAGAGATCGGTTTGTATATCTCTCTTCTATATGTGTGTGTCAATATAAGAGCTTAGATGTCTTTATATAGTGCTTTGAGTCCAAAGGAATTAGGGCTTTACTTGGTTGTAATCAGAAAAGTAAACCTAAATATTATAGGATTCTGTTCTAGAGAAGTATCTAAAAATTGTTCCCACATTTAGTCCTGCGACCCGAAACTCGTTTTCGCCTTCTCTTTATTCCATTTTTTTTTTTTTTTTTTTTTTTTCTCATAGTCCCTTCCCTCATCTGTTTGCAATTATTATTGTGTTAGCCTCCTCATCCATCTCGAAAGATGGTTGAGAGTCTGTGTCGGTTATATGACAACCCAATGGTGGTGGAATCAAATGGTGATTGCTATAGTCATTCATCAGCGTCGGAGGACCCAACACCAAAATCCAAATTTTCTTACGGATTTAAGTTGTTCTTTGCGATAATTACTGAAAAGAAGCTCTAGAAGATGATAATTCAGGGGAGAAAAAAGCGGATTGGGTGAGTCAGATGAATGTATTACTGAGGAACCACCACAAATTGACAATTCATGGAACAGGATTGGAGTCCCAAATGATAGAGGTGTTTAAGATCAATACCTATACACAGAGCCCTTCCTTGAAGCATCCAAGTGGTAGGTGGTTGGACTTCTTAAGAATACTGAAATAGTTACCAGTAAACAACAAAGTGAATGGACTTTTGGCACTATAATATCTGTTCTTTTCTATGTATGAGTTCTTTCTATGCTGACATGGGAGGAAATGTACGGTAGTTCTGAGTTTGGCACCTCCCGCCCTCCCTTCCCTCTTAATATTGAGGGTGGCGGCACAAAAGTTTAATTCATACATATGGCATAGAGATTTGCTCCTTTAATGATTGTATTCTCCTTTCAGTTTTTCATTTGCTTCTCTTGTCTATCATTTGATTTTCTCTCTTTAATATAAACAAAAGCACCTTAAAATTGGCTTTAACTCTCAACACCAATGAGGTAATGGATGTGCGTTTTGTTTTTGTATGGAGTTTTTGTATTTTGGAAGCAAGACAGTTGTATCTTCTGCGCAAAAATGTGAGCCAGTCACTGGAAAAGTTATATAGATTATTAATACTGGTGAATCTCTGTAAGAGGATAGTTCTTGATTGTGGATAGTGGATCTAAACAACAGCATCCTTGTTGTCAGGGGCTTATTTGTTATTAATTATATAATGTTGGGGCTTATGTGTAATTTCTGAAACGTGTTATTATAAATAGAATGTGGTGGAAGGATGAAAGTATTCTTTCATTCTTTCTCTCTTTCCCCATCTCTCTCTCTTTTTCTCTCATCTGCTTTCTTCTCTTTTTCTTATTCTTCTTTATCACTTACTCTTGATTTGATTATATCTTAAAGTCAACATGGTATTAGAGCATGGTTTTTAAACCTCTAAGTGTGTAGTTGAAACCCTAGGGCAAGTTTATGTAAACCTTAGTGGGTGTGAAGGGTTTTGAAGAGATTCCAAGATGGAATTTGTTTGCAAGAAAGTAGTAGTTTTGGACCTGTTTTTTATTTATTGCACTCTCAATTGGTGTTTTCTTTGTGTTTACGAGGTTCTGCAACAACGGCTTTTTCTTCGTCATTTGCGATTCTGGTATGGTCTACTTTGTTGCTTTCTTGGGTTTGTGTGGTGACTGGTTGCTTTTTTATGCATCTTAGAAGTCAGTAATCTTTCTAGTTGAAGTTTGTGTGTTAGAGAGGTGGTTCTCTACGTATTTTGTTGCTGCTTTTGTTTCTAAGGATTGCATACCCAGAAACTGTTTGATAAAATGTCTGGCTCAGAGGTGACTTCAAAAGAAGCTGGGTCTTCTCCTAGTCTGACTCCAGTATTGGGAGGTAGCAGTGATCATCATCCAGGCCTTTGTATTACGACTGTTTGGCTGAATGAGACAAACTATATGGAGTGGGCTCAATCTGCTCATATGCATATCACTGGTTGTAGGATGATTGACCATATCAAAGGGACTGTCACGTATCCTGGAAGAGCGATCCTGAATTCAAAGAGTGGAGTGCAAATAATGCACTAGTTATGACGTGGTTGTTGCAGTCAATGCAGTCATAGATCAGCAAAGGGTTTCTATTTGTGAAAACAACTAAAGAGCTTTGGACGACTTTGGAAGAAACGTATTCCTCGGTTGGTAATTTTGCAAAACTGTATTAACTCTAACAACATTTTTCAAGATTTAAGCAGGAAGACCAAACTCTTGCTACATATTACCACACTCTACGTGGTAAATGAGAAGAGTTAGATCACTACCAAGACGACATACCTATGTGCGCAGCTGATGTTAAAACATTTCATGCTATGGTAGAAAGGAATCGAATCTCTAAGTTCTTGGGTAGTCTGCATCCGAGATGCGAGTATGCTAGGGATGTGTGTTAGTATATCCAGCTTGAGAAGAGTAGAATGAAGGCTATATCTGTACCTTTATACACTAAGCCTGAGCCAGAAGTACCATTGTTTGAGAGGTCTGCTCTTGCCACACAACAATGGAACAAGCCCAATCCTCCAAAAGGAGGGAAGCAGGATGACAAGAGCAAGTTGAGGTGTGATCACTGTAGGCGTTCGCGCCACACTAGGGAAACATGTTGGAATCTATATAGTCGCCCTACTCCAGCTCCTGCTTATGGCCTGGTCCATTTAGGGGGTTTATATATAGTACATACTGCAGAGCGTGAGACTGTTTCTACTGGTCATACCTCCTCAGGGCCACCGAGTTCTTTGTTTGGGGCTGAACTTAATGCTCTCCGACATCTACTAGCACAACATTCCTCCATTACCACCTATAACTTCGCTCAGACAAGTACCTTTCATTTGGCACATCAGGTTTCCACATTATCTGGTGGACCACCCTGGATCATTGATTCAGGAGCCAGTGATCACATGACTGGTATGTCATCTGATTTTTCTTCGTACAGTTTATGTTCTGGTAAGGATAAGGTTAGAGTGGCTGATGGCACCTTCACCTCTATTACGGGGAAGGGCACAGTTTCTGTCTCTCCTAATCTTACCTTATCCTCTATTCTTCATGTCCCAAAGTTTACCAATAACCTCCTTTCTGTCAGTCACATTACAAAAGGCTTGGAATTGTACTATAACCTTTTTTCCCATCTCACTGTGTGTTTCAGGACTTGGACACTGGGAAGACGATTAAAAGTGGACGCGAGGACAATGGCTTGTATTTGCTGAACGCGAAGCCAACTTCTTATTTTGTTGCAAATCAATCTAGTGTTAGGAATAGTAATGTCAATAAAGATCTGTTAATGCGATGGCATAATAGACTAGGTCATTTACCTCTTCTTGTTTTAAAGCATGTGCTTCCCCAATTTGCTTTTGTTGAATCTTTTGAGTTATATTGTGAAACATGCATTTTTACCGAACAATGTCATGTTTCATATCCTACTAGTATTAATAAAAGTACAACTCCTTTGCAGCTTGTTCATTCTGATGTGTGGGGTCCTAAATCTACTACTTTGTTACTTAGTTTTCGTTACTTTGTTGTGTTTGTTGATGACTTTAGTCGATATACTTGGCTTTATCTTATGAAAACCAACGATGAAGTTCATTACATTTTTAAAACCTTTCATAGGATGGTATGTTCTTAGTTTGGTTGTCCCCTCAATATCCTTCGATCTAATAATGAAGGAGAGTTTATATATG